TTTCTTTGACCTCAGCCATGGCACTAGGCTTGGTTCCGGAGACTTGGTATTGGTTCTCTGAGGAATATCGTCTCCGCGAGTCGAGAGGCGGCGTCTGTCAGAGCGGGGGGAACGTAATGTGCACAATGATGTGAAATATTATAGGGAATGAAGGGATGGTACAGAGGAAGAGGTTGCATCCATGGCGTTAATTTCCATTTCACTGTAGACACGTGCCTCCAGCAAGTCACAAACCGATGCAAGCAAGTAAATGTCGACCCTGAGCGTCACGCGCCCAGTTGCTGATTTCCAGCCAGCCTGCCCACTGGGCTTCCTGCCAATGGACTCTCTGTCGGTCGTGATTTCATATTCCCGTGCGAGAATGGGTATCGGGGGCAGAGCTTGACGAGCAAACGTAGGAAGGCGAAGCGTTTGTGGAGGTCCGAGAATGAAAGAGGCTAGCCGAACAAAGACAACAAGTATAAAGAAAGAACATACCAATGCATGAAGCGCACTAGAGTAAAGAGCATCAGACTTGTCTCATAAGCCAGCGGTAATCAAATTTGCTGCAAGTTTCAACTTGGCGCGCATTTAATATTCTATAGTCCGAAAGTGTCGGGCCAACTTTAAACCCCATTTTTCGCACAATTTAGCGACGGCCTCTAATGAAAATTAATATAACCGCAATGAAAATTAACGTGACCCTTGCACAATTAATTTTCATTAGAGGCTGTCGCTAAATTGTGCGAAAAATGGGGTTTAAAGTTGGCCCGACACTTTCGGACTATAGAATATACACAGCGACATGGAGAGCCGAATATTCTGATTCGCCCGCGCTACTAGCTCCATGTGTTGTGTATGGTAGAGCTGAGTTCTGTCAAAGCTCCAATATCAGTTTTGTAGCCGAAGACTGTATCTGTTCTTGCTGCTCGATAGCTCGTGAGGTTCCTCATCTGGGCACGCCGCTGGAAGACGGCCTTGCTGTAATTCTCCGCCATACCTCTGGAGTTTACTGCCGACTTCTGCAACATCCAGTCTGCCATGCTAGCGACGCTGTCCCCTACTTCTTCTTGTCTACATCTGGGTCAGCAAAGCGATATACGTGATGCACAATAACACGCACTTCCATTGACTTCATCTCCACGCTGCTCCAGCAGGCCCCAGACCGCGAGATGCGATGTAAGCTCCAGTTGATTCGCAAGGTCTTGATCGAGTCCGGTGAGGCTAATGGATTTCTTGTAGTCTTCCGTCTCGAACACCTTCGACCATTCGGTCCCGAGCACGATACGAATATCGCCCCTCAGTGTCCCACCACTGGACATCAAATCCCGGAGTGGCTCTCCAATAGAATCGTAGAATACGAAGATGGATCCGCCCTCGAGGAAGGAAGAAGCAAACTTCTTCCGACTACTGCGACAGACCCAGAGGAGCCGCGACGGTGGCTCATTGAGAACGGCGACCTGATCAGTATACTTTGCGACCAAATCTTCCAGTCCCTCTTTTTCAACAGTTGGCCTAGAGGCGTAGATCCGGATCTGGGCATCAGCAGTGAAGGTCAGATCGTAGATGCAGTCGTAGAGCTCTTGAGGCAAGTTTTCGAGGTGGTCGCGGAGCTCGAGGGCGTCGCACTTGTCGCTGCTGTTCTCTTCAGCCATGGCGCATGTGGAACAGCACCTTGCGCGGCGAAGCATGCACGACACGACTGTGGATTCTGACGATGCGGAAGAAAGGTCGAGTCAAAGGAGGTGGGGGCAACGAAGAGCTGACGATGTAAGAGGACGGAGGTACACGACCTGCAGCAAGTACAACAAAATGCGGGAGTGGATGGGGACTCGGGCGCCCCCGATGAGGCACGTCAGGCGGTTGAGGGTAATGGGTGAATGCTGAAGCTAATTTTCATGAGCATATCAGTTGTATGGACTCGATCACATGAATATAGCAGTCAAGCTGCGGCAGGAAGACAAGCCGTGACTGAATGTTCTATCACCGAGTCCTTTCGTGCTCGCGATAGAGACCCTATCCCCTTGCTCTGTTGTCCGTACTGCACCGGCCGGCTCGTCTCTCAGTATTGATTGACTAAGTCAGTTAGCGCAGTGATAGATTTGATCGTCAGACGAGACGTACCTTATTCCATCGCGCCAGCATACTGCTTTATGATCTCGACGATCTCATCCAGCGAGGCGAAGACAACTCGATCCGCGTAAGCCTCCCCTGCGGGCTCTTCACTCAGAAATCGTCTGAAAATGTGATCTTTGCCTAGGACCTCCCGATGTCCCGTATTGAATACATAGTGAGGGGCACGGATGAGCTCCAAATGGCTGTGTGAGAAGCATGCGCCGTATCGATTTGGGCTCACGACCACAAAGACAGACTCCCCACCGAAATATGATGCGGCGAACTTGGCCCTGCTTTTTCGATCCACGTGGAGCAAATGCGGCGGCTTCTCGTTGATCGTAACGACCCGCTCTGGATATGTCGCTGCTAACTCTTCCAGCTGCAAGAGCCCCATCTCGCGCTTCATAGAGTAGAACCGCAGTTTGACTTCAGCTGTGAACGTCAAGTCGTAGATGTGGTTGTAGAGTTCTTGTGGGAGGCTCTCGAGGAGGTTGCGGAGCTCGAGACTGTTGGTGCCATTGCTGGCGCTGCTGCGGCGGTTCTCGTGGTTGTTGTAGCGGTTCTTCTTGCGAGTCATAGCGCAGGTCGATCAGTGCGCGGCGCACTGGAGGAAGAGGTTGTGGTGGGGACGCGAAGGAAATAAGGTGGTAAAAGGTCAGGTTGATGTGAGTGACCCCGTGCTAGACAAATATTGGCGTGCGGCGCGCGGAGAGGCCCGGAGCCGCAACAAACAAAACAAATTGCTAAGTGAAGGAGAACTCAAACGCTTCCGGAAGCTGCTGTCAGTCAACCTTTGCACGTTCAAGCCAAATGAAGGCTCGAGCTTAGAATCCTCGTGGAAACGGCAACCCTCTCACTTGCAACTATAGAATCGTACTGCGCTGGCGGGAGTAATGCCGCTGAGAGACGGATTGAAGCAGAGTGAAACTTGAGACTCAGGCTCGTGGTAGAGACTCCGACTCTACACTCGTAGTTACAGGATCGTACTCCAATGGCCGTAAAATGCCGATGGATGCTATGTCGCTGCTCAAGCCTTTCGGTGCCAACTCCCTCTGTGCCTCCTGCTCTTCTGCAGCCCTTCTTCAGATCTCGTGCTGAATGTGCCCTAGTATACTCGCCCGTCAGGTCTGTCCATCATCTGTAAGGATAGTCAGTCTTGCTCTCTGTCGAAGTTGCTCGTCAATCGTACCAGCGAAATCTGGTTGAATGGCCTGCTCCATCACACCAGAATTCTTGCCCCAAAGATGCTCGTCTAGCAGCTCCGGCAACTCCCACTTAGTGAGAGACTGCGATCTCATTGCCGTATCTCGCTCCCATCCTAGTTCAAATAGAATGTGCTCGCACGAAATTGGCCACATGTACCGTCTCGAGCTCGGATAGATGTAGTGAGGGTGTGAGATCAGTCTCAAATGGCTGGACTCAAAGCACATTCTCCCCACACTGGCGCCGTAGAAGACAAAGAGGGATTCCGGATGACCGAAATATGATTCTGCGAACTTCTGGCGGCTCTGGCGATCCACGTGGAAAAGCGGCGGTAGCCTCTCGTTGACGGGAATGTGTATGTCGAAATGGTCTGGTACAGCAGTCATATCCTTCAGCTCTTTGATGTCTTTTCCAATGGCATAGATTCGGATCTTGCTGTCGGCGGTGACGGTGAGGTCGTCAATGCGGTCGAAGAGCTCCTGCGGGAGAGCCTGCATGTGGTTGTGCAGCTGGAGGGCGCTGTCGAGCTTGCCGCCATCGTCATTGCGGTCGACGCCACTCTGCTTGGTGGCCATGGCGCGCGTAACAAGACTGGCGACACGGCACGGGTTGATGTTGATGTTGTGGAGTGTGAACAGATTTGCGAGTGTGGTCGAGGTGGAGGACCAGGTCTGTGGTGGAAAGCGCGCGGTGCTCTTGCCAAGGCTGAAGTGCACATGCATGAACTGAAGTGAAGCAAACAAACGGTGCAGCACAGGGAAGTGGAAACGGGCACGCTGGGAAGCGAAAATCAGGCAGACAGGCAGAGATGGAGGACGGATCCCGCTTTCACTGGGGGAAAGTGGAAAGATCGTGAGTAGTATCTGTGTCCTGTACAGCCCATATTTCAAGCTCGGCTACATTTGCTATGCAAGTCGACTGCCGGCAGCCAACTATCTGCTCTCTCGACAGTTCAGGCTTCTGGTATTGACTTCAAGGCACGGACTTTCGCCATGCCACTCGACTCCAGCTGGCGATTTTTTCCTGTCTCAGCTTCGCCACGGGCTGATTCAGTCCGTTCACACAGCGGCGTTGTTATGGCCCGTCGACGACTGCGTGAGGAAGCGATTGTCTACTCTTTCGCCTTGCTTCTGCCTTCCTCTCTCTGCGAGCCTGGGCCTTGTAGCGGGCAACGAACTCCGTTGGAGACATGAACTCAAACTTCTCCACCACAGCAGCTCCAAACCCGTGAGCAACCATGTCCTGTCTTGCTCGGTCATCATATGCGTGGTCCCATGAGCGGCCCCCGCGAATGAAGACGAGCTCAGGTATGAGCTCTAGATGCTGGCTTTCGATGTGCACATTCCTTATGGCGCCACCATGAATGACCAAAATGGATTTCGGATCGCCGAAGTACAATCGAGCGAACTTCTCCCGGCTTCGGCGATCAACGTGTAGGAGATGCGGCAGCTTCTCATTGATCGAGAGCATCCCAAGACCCCTGTCGTACCTGCCAGTAAAAGTCCAAGGGAGGTAGATGCAGCGTTTTCGGGCGGCAGTGAAGGTCAAGTCGTAAATGTAATCGTAAAGTTCCTGCGGAAGGCCCTCGAGGTGGTCGCGGAGTAGGAGTGAGTTGTCGCTCTGCTCATTTTGCTCGTCACTCGTGTCTTCGAGCCGATCGGCCTGGTCGCTGCCATCTTCGTTCTTCTCGATTCTCCACCCGACGCTCTCCTCGACGCTCTCCTCGACACTCTCCTCGACCTTCTCGTCAATTCCATGCATCTTGTTGATCTTCTTGATATCCTTGTCGCACTTCTCTCCGCTCTCGTCTTCGCTCTTGCTGTGAGCCATGGTGCGCGTTGAGTGGCGGCTCTGGCCAATAAATTGGTGACAAGCTGTTGTGGCTGTGAAGGTGTGTGAAGGACAGAAGACGAGGATGGACCGCGGCAAGAGTGCTGCGCGAAGTCTCGGTTGCACGTGCACGTGCCGCGAAGGCAGTGAAAGTGAACGATGAACGGATTGCGCGAGATGACAAACAGCCGGAAGCGGGCACTTCCGGAACACTGCCTCAGTCGACTCACACTGGAGGGAAGGAACAGGTTCAGAGAAAGGCACAGGAAAGCTATGGCATTGCTCTTTGGAACGTAGAGCATTGATTGCAAGCTCGTCTATGGTGCTCCTCTGAGCGTGGGCACGCCATTTTCCTCTTCCACGTGTGACGATGCATGAGTGTCTCGCTCCAAAGCAGATTACTGCTGCGGCCATCAAGCACCACCGTTCTCTCCACGCCTGTGCTCAGTCCTCAGCCTTCTCCTCTCCCTCCGATGTTGTCTCGCTTACTTCAGCATCTACAGAGATATCAGCACCGTGTTTAAAGAACCACTCCTCTTGACTCACCTTCTGTCGGAATACCAGCGCGCTGCTTGACCAATTTGAGCACCTCGTCGTGCTTATTGAAGATGATTCGACTGGCGAATGCCGGGTCCATTCCACCACCCACAAGTGTATACCTCCACATAAACTCTGGTAACACCTGTGGAAAGCAGCTGTCCGTCAGTGTGACCATGCGTGCCTCGTGAATGAGATCCCTGTGGCTCCCCAGGCGGCTGAAAAAGTGCCATTGAGTGCCCCCATAAATTACAAAGACGGAATCACGACCGTAGTAGGACGAAGCGAACTTCTGTCGGCTGTGGCGATCGACCCACAACAGATGAGGGTGCAGTTGTTTGTTGAATTCGACCACGCGAGCGGAGTATTCAGCAAATGCGTCTTTGAGCTTTGGGTCACGGACGTATCGTTTCCAGGCGCAGATGTGGACCTTTGGATCAGCGGTAAAGGTCATGTCATAGATGATGTCCTGGAGCTCCTGTGGTAGCCCCTCGATGAGCTCGCGGAGTTTGAGGCTGTCGTCGCCGTTGCCGTCACCGTTGTCGCTGTCGCTGGCCATGATATGGAAGCGGTGTACTGCGTGCCAAGGGAATTTTGTTGAAGGACTGTTCAGTGTGATTGAAGAAGATGGAGTTTGTAGTAGAAGTTGCAATTGGGGCTGCGTCCTTGCCAAGACGGACCGACGCATGTGAATGCCAAGACGTCCAGGCAACAGTCAGCAGACGACATGGAACAATTACGTGGAGCGCCAGCGCGAACCTTAAAAAGGCCTCATTAGTTGGTATGCTTTACCACTATCTCCTGCTTAGACCCGTAATTCGCTCCAGAAGGTCGTGGTGGTGTGCTTCCGCCGCAACTCCGCAAGAGCGAGCCTGGCTAAGCGCCTCAGGCAGCATCCGGGTATGAGATAGACCTTACTAGCGGTGCGAGGCTCATCAAGAGACAGAATAAACATAGTTGTATTTGTTCCTGCGTACGGACGTGATCGGGTGAAATCTCTACAGAAGCTGCGACTCGACTCGAGCGGAGCGGTCAGAGGATGCAAGAACACCACTCTCTGGACCTCTGCCCAGGTGCCTTCAGTGGAGCGATCTATCCGCGTGTTATGTACTCAGTCACACATGTCCCATCAATCCATCTCTGGCCCTTATCTCCCCTCGCGCCCAGTCCTCCCGCAAGCAGCAATCCATCAGCTCGAGAAGCTCATTCAACTCCATCTCCATCGATGACCCCAATCCTCTGGTTTACCAACTCCACGATCTCCTCATTCGATATCATATCAAAGCGGTCGCCAATGCACCGGAACACGGTACGTTGCAAGTATTTAGCGATGGGGAGGGAAGTCTTGTGAAATTGCCTTGAAACCGCAAAGCGAATGTCTCTCATGAGTCGCACATGGTCCTTATGAATGCATATTTTGTAATCTTCAGTCCACCAGAACATGAAGACTGAGTCTTGATTGCCGAAGAACGACTCTGCAAACTTTTGCCGGCTGGCACGATCCACATGCAAGAGATGCGGTAGTTCGTTGAATGAGAGAACTCGGTCCAGAGCTTGCATTGGGATCTTTGCAGATTCAGAAGGCTCCCAGTCTGAGTCACGTTCGCCGAAAAAGATCAACGAGAACGCGTTCCGGTCGGCGCGGTCTGCCTGCAAGACAGGTGGCAGCTGCTCGTTGAAGATATGTTCCCGCTCGAAGACATTTTTGGGAGGCACAGGGAAGCCAGGAGGCAATTTCCCCCGGAAAGTGGTGTCGCGATCAGAGAACACATGTGGCGCAGGTGGCCGCAGATTGGCGAGCCATCTCCCGTACTTGGTGTAAACTCGAATCTTCGACTCGGCGGTGAAGGTCAGGTCGTAGATCTCGTCGTAAAGTTCCTGAGGCAGTCTGCTGAGGTGTTGCCGAAGTTTGAGAGCGGCGCAATCGTTGTCGCAGTTCTCGCTATCGTGGCTAGCCATGTTGCACGCGAAAGTCCCGGCCATGAGGGAAGCGGGTTGAGAGCGCTGTGCCCTGTCTGAACGTTATCGACGATGATGGAAACGCTGCGGCGAAGGGAAGTGAGTCTGCAAAGTCAGTCACAATGTGGAGCTGTGGCTGGAAACGTTTCGAAGCAAAACAGGCAGCGAACGGGCTGTGACTCATCAGCAGACACTTTTAGGCGCTCGGTTGGCGGTCCTGCTTCAGAACGGCAAAGGAGAATTCGAGAAGAAGGATGAGACAGAGGTGATGGCTTAGTGGGGAGTACGTAGATGAGTACGGATTGTAGCTGCTATCATGACTTTAAGCAGTTTCTGGATGAAGCAGCTTCCGACCCGACTGTCCTGTTGTCTGGCCTTGCGCGCTCAACCGATGTCTGTACCCACTAGCTGTATGTCTCGCTGCTTGATGTGCGCCCCATGTCAGTCCTCGTGCTCTGCTTGATTCGAGCCAGTGAGCGTCGTGGTGCGGAGACTTATGTCCGACTCGTCCTCATCAGCTATCCCAGCGCGCTTCTTCACAAGTGCCTCGACCTCGTTGTATGTCAGAAACTTGAAGCTTTCTGGAGACTTCTCCAACCAGTACTCGTGGAAGCGCCCAGCCACCTTCGAGTCCATGAATGACCGGACGTGATGCTTGGCTTCAGAACTCCAGAAGACATTCTTGATGAGCTTGCGGAAGTCGGGAATTCCCTCAAAGTAGTGACGCAAGTCGTAATCGCGCATTTCATACCCGACATAGAATATGAAAGTAGAGTCTTCGCCGCCGAAGTAGGAGTCTGCAAACTTCTTCCTGCTAGCGCGGTCGACACGAAGCATGCTCGGCAGTCTTTCATCGAATGTAACAACTCGCCGAGAGGCCGTGTCTGGAAGAACTGATGTAGTGAGGTAGAAGCGCGCCCATGGTGAGATGCCAAAGATTCGGATTCTTGAGGTCGCTGTGAAGGTGAAGTCGTAGATGTGGTTGTAGAGCTCTTGTGGAAGGCTTTCGAGGCGTTCGCGGAGTTCGAGAGTGTCGGTGCCGGCGCTGCTGGTGAGTTCGCTCCTGGCTTCGCCATCGGTGCTTCCGTCGTGCTCGGGTTCGTCTTCGCTCCCGCCATCGGTCGCCATGATGCGTGTAGGATGCGATCTCGCGTTGCGAGAGTGATGGGTGGGATGTGGTGAAGACAAGAAAGTTGCTGATTAGGGGCAGTCGCAGAGTCGATATGTGGGCCGGGAGTCAGCGCGCTGAAGCACACAAAAGAGTCAGGTGAACCAACGGCGGGCGCTGCCGTTGGAATCTCAGATGGTCAAGTCGATGACTTCGGCTGCAGACTTTTCAACAGCCTTCTCAACACCTCCGATACGCTTTTTCACGAGCGCCGGAATGTCCTTGTAGAAGATCAAACCAATGCTTTCGGTGGAGATTCCAGCCCATTTTGCGATGCGTTTCCTTCCGTAACGGGAGGGAACTGTGGAATTGCACCATAGGACCAAGCGGACATCCTTCATGAGACTTATGAACGGGTTGTCTCTGGCAGGGAATGAGCAGCCAACAGAAAAAATGAAAATCGAGTCGGGATTCCCATAGAAGGACTTTGCGAAATTCTGTCTGCTTGCGCGGTCCACGTGCAGCAGATGTGGAGGTCTCTCATGGACTGTAACAACTCGCTTGGAGTAATGCTTCATGGCATCGCGTAGTTGAGCGGGGACTCGACCACGGTCTTCGTCATAGGTGTAGATGCGTATCTTTGCCTCTGCGGTGAACGTGAGGTCGTAGATGTAGTTATAGAGCTCTTGAGGCAGGTTCTCAAGCCGCTCGCGAAGTTCGAGCTCGGGGCTGGAGTTGCCACTGCCGAAGCCACTGTCATGCATGCCGTGCGCAGTGCTGCTGCCATTGCTGCCGGTGTTACTGTTTGTGTTGCTGTTGTCGTCGAGAGCCATGATGCGTGTCGAGTGCTCGGAATTCAAAAGGGGCGAGTGCTGGTGCTGATGTTGGAATGTGGTGAAGAAAAGTGAAGTGGGTGGTGGTCAGGACGCGGTGTCAACGCGCCGCCGGCATCTGTGCGCGAAATGAAGCTGGAAAAGCCTCAAGTGAAGCCAAAGCAAACGCTGCCGCCGGAAGCTTCAGTTGTGTGAGATTGTGGTTCACAATCCAGCAGAAGCTGAGTTGGCGATTCCAGCACGCTTCTTCAACAGTGCTTCGATATCCTCGGGATAGAGGAAACAAATACTGTGCTCGGATTTGCCAGTCCACTCTACGACGGCACGCCTGCAGTATCTGTCGACAATCCCACCTCCCCACCTATCGATACCCATGTGGATATTTTTGACTAGCTTCAGATGCGTGATCACTCCAGGATTGGAGCATCTGGAGACGATAAAGAGCGAGTCGGGATTGCCATAGAAGGATCGCGCAAACTTATTTCTGCTTGCACGATCAACGTGCAGTAAGTACGGTATCTCGTTGACTGTGACGATTTCCTTGGAGTACCCCTGTGCCAACTCGTGAAGCTTAGCACTAGTCAATCTTTCGCTGTCCTTACGTTCAGGTAACTGGCTGTAAAGTCGGACTTTCGCGTCGGCAGTGAAGGTGAGATCATAAATCATCTCCCAGAGCTCTGGTGGCAGCTCATCGAGCCGCTCACGGAGTGTATGACTGTCGTCCTTCGAGTTCGCCATGTCGTGTTTCGTGGTTTCGCGAGTTGTGGTGTTGGTATCGTTGATGTCTTTTGCTCTGAGGAGATGAGAGGGAAAAGTTGTTGTCTGGTAGTGTGCGTGTGTCAGACGGCAAGCAGAATGGAAGTGGAAGGAACAACGCGAGTTCCTGATGTGGGTCGCGCTGCAAGTGAAGCAGAGTCCTCAGAAGCAGCAGCACGTGCATTTGCACATGTGAGCCCGGGAGCGTGAGATCCTAGCCCAACGGTCGAAGCAAACAGAGGCCTGATGGCGCGAACGAGGCTGCTTCGCCGGAAGCTCTATCCGCAGGCCGCTTCTCGAGGGCATTCTGGGAGAACAGGAAGAACGGCGACAGTTGGATTAAGCCTGAAGATGTATCGATCGAAGGCGCACATGCAGATTTGACCTGGATTTGTATCGTATCCACATATTACAACCTTCTACGCGTTCACCCAACGACTAATTTGCTCCATCTCACTTCCTCTTCGTGCGCTTCTTCTTCTTCGTCTTCTTTTTCTTGCTTGCTTGCGTCTTCTTCCCTTCTGCAGTACTCGCTTCCTTTGCCAAAGCCTCCTCGAGCTCTTCTCCAGACAACAGATCCAGATCATCCTCATCCTCCTCCGGCTCCTTGTCCTGCTCCTCATCATCCTCCACATCTGGAGTATCCTCCTTCGTGTCCTTCGTGTTCTCTCTGACACCCCCGGGTTTCCGATTCCCAAACCTCTTCCGATTCTCCTCCTCGAACCCTCTCTTCTCTTTCTGAAACAATAACATTGTCGCCCTTGCATCCTCCACTGACGAGTGCTCTCCTGTCTGAATCTCCAGCCCCAACTCACTCCTCGCCAGATTCCTCAAAGCGGGCGGTTTCCCTTTGCTCTCGATCCTGAACTTCGGATATCTCGACGTGTCTCGCATATCACTCTTTGGGTGCGACAACAGCAGTGCGTTCAGGTCATTCCGCAATGCGTGGCCAACCAGTATCCTTCCATCGAGCAGTTTCGCAACATCTTTCTGCACTTCCGCAAATGTCCTCGCATACCCTGGCTTCAGGTGATGCGGCTTGATGCCTGAGACATATGTTCGGTAGTCCTCGATTCGGACCTTGGGCGGAGGCTGGACGTAGGAGTCGTAGATTTGCTCGCCGTGGAAGTTGACAAGAGAAGCTCGTGCGAGGACGTTGTCGAGATGGGGAGGAGGTCCGGTGCCGACCATTTCGCAATCGAGAGCGACATATTTCCCGATCTTGTGCGTGGGATGTAACCCTCCGTTGACATCGTCTGTGTATGACGCTCGCTTCTTCGTTGTCCCATATGCTGCTGCCACATCCTCCTGGGGTATCTCATGCTCTTTGACCAGATCTACCTCTTTCGCCGGCGTCGCCGTCGACATGACACCGCCCATCTTCCGCCTCTTGCCCAAAGCCGTCCCGTTCGCAGACTGGAAATCAAACGTCTTCTTCTTCTTGAACGCAGTCGTCGACTTTTCCGGCGCTCGCTTCCTCTTCACCCCATTGCTCTCGCCTTTGGCCTTTTTCTCCGCCTCCAATCGTTGCTGCAGAATCTTCCAGTTGCTGCCGATCGTCTTTGAATCCGGGCCTGACATCTCTTCACATCTGCATTCTGCGTGTTGCGACGAAGTATTGAAGTTGTAGAAGGTAACTTTTTCTGGAAGCAGCTCAGGCCGACGTGAGGCTGAAATGCCGATGTCCGCTGTGGCGCGGTTGCCCGGGCGCAATCCAGCTTGACTTGCGACGGACGCGACGACGAGCTGCATTCCATCGCCACCACTTCACCTTCATCGACAACTCTACGATATTTGCAGAAAAGGACAATAACAGCCCGTCATGGTGCGCGACGACACCAAAAGCGGCGGAAATGGCGGCGACGAGGTCAAAGCAGAACGCGGCATGGCCACTCTGTCGACGTTGAGGTAAGTAAAGCAGCGCTCAATACTGTACACGACCAGAGGGTCTGACATTGTATGAACAGAATTGGTACAAAGGCCATGGTGGAAAAGGTATGTTGTGTTTGATATCAAGCCCAGCGAGCAACGCCAACCTCAAAGTCGACGCGAAAACGCAAAAGTATTGCGCGTATCGTTTTGCTTGCCATACACTTCGCCTGCACACTCTACGCATTCAATGCTGACATGTTATCAGGATGGCGAGAAAAGAAAGGCAGAAATTCTGTCGATGCAAACACGAAAAGGCAGACCGACCTTTTATGTCCACTATCAAGATTTCAACAAGCGTCTGGATGAATGGGTGCCCGCAGAGCGCCTGGATCTGACACAAGAAGTCGAATGGCCTATTCCTGAGAAGGCAGACAAGTCGAAACAGAAGACAGCTCAATCGAAAGCTCAGCCATCCAAGACTGATAATGCGAAGAACACCAAAGTCGGCCAGAAACGACCTCGAAGTGGTACTGCCACACGAGAAGCTTCCGAAGCGCCTACAGATCTTGGAGCGAAACTCAGCATTCAGAGGTCGAAATCTGGAGGCGGCAAGGAGAATCGCGATCCGAATGTGGCAGTTCTGACAGAGGACCTGGATGGAACGCCACAGCCTGACGATGAGTCTGCAGTCGATCTCGTGGACATGCAAGAAGCCGCAGCTGCTGCTAAGGCTGTGCCGGAGACAGTCCCCTACTCACGCGAAGAGGAGATTGAAAAGCTTCGCACCGGTGGCAGCATGACCCAAAACCAGACCGAGATCAGCCGTGTTCGAAATCTCGACAAGCTGCAAATGGGAATGCACGAGATCGAGCCTTGGTACTTCTCGCCCTATCCCGCCGAGTTCACCGACTGCGATATGGTATACATCTGCGAGTTCTGCCTATCCTACTTCGGAAGTCAATTCCAATTCGGGCGGCATCGAAAAAAGTGCCAGCTCAAACATCCTCCCGGGAATGAAATCTACCGCGATGAGCACGTCTCCTTCTTCGAAATTGATGGGCGAAGACAGCGAACCTGGTGCCGCAACCTCTGCCTTCTCTCCAAACTCTTCCTTGACCACAAGACTCTCTACTACGATGTCGATCCTTTCCTCTTCTACTGCATGACAACACGCGACGAACACGGCCATCACTTGATCGGCTACTTCTCCAAAGAGAAAGAATCCGCCGAAGGCTATAACGTCGCTTGTATCCTCACCCTCCCCCAATGGCAACGCAAAGGCTTCGGCCACCTCCTCATCCAATTCTCCTACGAACTCAGTAAAATCGAAGGCAAACTCGGCTCACCCGAAAAACCTCTCTCCGATCTCGGTCTTCTCGGCTACCGTGCCTACTGGCAAGATGTCATTGTCGACCTTCTCCTCGAACGTGAAGCCGAAGCGGGAGGATCTGGAGGAGCGGCGAGTATTGAAGATATTGGAACTTCGCTCGCGATGACGACGAATGATGTCCTGCATACATTGCAGAATTTGAATATGTTAAGGTATGCGAATAAAAATCATGTGATTGTGCTGCCGGAGACAGTGTTGAAGGCGAGGGAGGCGAGGAAGGAGAAGGAGAAGTTGAAGGGGAAGAGGATGATTGATCCTGAGAGGTTGATTTGGAAACCTCCGGTTTTTGCGGCGAGTGCGAGGACGTGGGCGTGGTAGGGTTGTAAGGTATTGTGGAGATGTTGTGGGAGAAGTGATTATGAGGACGGAGCTGGCGTTCGACATAGGATATACCCATGGCATGATATTTTGCTTCTACGCATGATCTCCCAATTGTGCTCTTCTCGCAGCTCGATAGTCCTTGGGCTTGCTATGGTCTCTTGCGGCGATGATGCTGCTACAACCTGTTTCATGCTGCCGGACGGCCGGTCCAACATCATCGTCCCAACAAGAAACCACCGAAGATGTTTGCACCGGATGTAAACTGCAAGCCGTAGATTGAAGAAGAATTGAAAATGAGCATCCAGACTGTGTCCAGATTCGAGCGAATATCAAATCGCTGGACAATCCTGCCACGTGAAAGGGGCATCTTGAAGCTTACGTTGCAGCATCCTCCTTCGAGATCTCACTCGATGCCGGCCACTGCCTGGCCAAAGTGCTCAAAAACCGCCAATAGCAGATACCAGGCAATATTTACGTGACTAGGTGCTCATTCAGCAATGATCGTCAGCGGTATTCTGGTCTAGTCAATAAGTCGCTGTTCAGATGGGGCGCTTAACAATGGAGACGTGAATGATGCAGGATGAGAGGCAGCATGTAGCCTCTTCCCCACCCCATTTCATCTCTTGCAGATTGTCGTTGGCGACTGTTTCGCCTTTTTGCCCCGTGTTTAGACGTTTTACAATTTTGATATTCTTCTGTATTCCTTCGGCCCGATCTTCACATAGCCCGTTGCGTGTTGTGTTGGAAGAACATATTCGATCTTTGCGTTACCTCTGTCGATTTGATATCTTTTCCTTTTCGATGCTAACCTTGGGCAATCGACTCCACCTGCCAGCTTAGATATACGGAACAATTTCTTGTCTCAATAACGATCGCCGGCGGCGTTCTGGTCTAGTCGATAAGTCGTGCACCGCATTGCGTACGCTTGGGAAGTGGAGCATTGGCGGTGCTGTGTAGAGGTATTTCTGTGGCCTCTGCAGGGTGAACTTTCTTCTCCGAACTTCGAAGCTGCCGTCGACATTTGTTCTGCCCTTCGAAGATATGGTTTGTCATTCTTGTCGCGTTGTCAATTGAATTAATAGATCACTTTTTGCTGCTTGTGTGCGTAGTGTATAGATCAATACTGGACATGTAATGCGATCTTGCTACGAGGGAAATTTAGTCGTTAGATGATAATCGTTTTGTCAAATTGAATTCCCGGCCAACGCAGACAAATGCCAGGCATTTTATACCGAGTAAATTGCTCGTCCTCAACGATCTTCATCGGTGTTCTGGCCTAGTCGATAAGTCGTTCCTGCAACGGCACGCTCGACAATAAGCGGAAAGCTGAAAGCTTGTCGAGGCGTTGGTAGCCTGAACGGGCCATCTTTTCGATCGGTCACAGGTAGAGCCCATTGACGATTGTTTTGCCGTTTTGCTATGTCTGTACTGATTGCACGCCTCGCGCTCGAGTAACAGAGAACGCAATCTTCTCTTTTCCTTAGCTCATCCGCGTGCCAGGTTCTTCGTCTAAGGCGCATGGTGGGCAGGGAATTTAATCAGAACAAAATGCCTGCCAGCAACGATCGTTGACGGCGTTCTGGCCGCTCGAGAAGCAAAGCAGGACAGCACGTCGGCGAGGCCGTAGCAGAGTCTCAGGCGTAGGTCGCCCACTCACCGACCCGAATGCCGTTGGCGATTGTTTTGTCTTTGCTCCTTGCGTTTAAAGTGGTGGGTCGTTTATCGTCCATACATGTGAGTTCGATTGGCTCCTCGGTGACCCGAACACTACTTACTCAAAGCTCCTGGCTCAATCATCGACCACTTCCTTCTTAATGTGTTCTTCCTGTCCGCTCTTGTCTTTCGCCTCCTCTTTTATCGCCTTTTTTCTATTCCTTCCTCTCCCACCCTCAGCCTCATACCCCTTCCAAATCCCCTCCTCCTTCTTCACCTTCCCTCCAGCCTTCATCCACTCTTTCTTCTCCTTCTGCCATTGCTCTTTCAGTCTCAGATAGCCTTCGTCTTTCATACATTCTTTCCACAGCACTTTGAAGATCTCACTCGCAGCCAGTTTTTCTTCTTGTCCTGCATGTCCTGTACTTTTGGGCAGTTCTGTGCGTTTGATGTGGGAGTGGTTGGGATTTTTGACTGGGTCGCCAGTCAGAGCGGCGGCTTCGCGTTCGAGTTGGAGGGAGGACTTGGCGTATTTCTTGCCGCCGGCGTGGTTGGCGTATCTGGAGGGTAGGTTGTCAGTGCCGGTGGCAGTGTAGTATTGTTCAAGAGAGATGGTATGATGCGACGCATTTGTACAGAGACCAGCCATTCATGCGTTCCACACCGACATCATGCGATGACAATCTACTCCCGAATGAGCGGGTCAGAGACATCCGGCTCCTACTTATGGCCAATACAATTATGCCTGCTGCGAGATCATGCCCGATTGTAGACCGTCCTGTTCAAAGGAGTGCGGGTCCATCGCCAACATGAAGTCTGAGCCAATTCACCTACCTCTTCGCCCTCGTCATGCCCATCTGAATGAATTTCCTCGCCATATCACTCCCGACCAAATCTCCCTCTTGCACATAATGATCAAACGCGCCTTTCAGCGTCTTCGAAGACTCTTCCGCGACAGGCACAGTTCTGAAGCGCCAGTGTGGTAAGAGGATGGACTTGTATGGCTCAAATGTCAAGACTCCCTGTTCTCCTCGGGCTATCTCATACGACATGCGAATGTGTTCATCGTGGAGAGCAGGCGTGGGGAAGAGGTCGCGCACGCTCTTGTGCGGTGGAGAGGGAGATTTCGTGGATGGCGGAGAGCTGGGTATCGCGGAGGTTCTGGTGCGAGGCATGATACCCCTACGATTATAGATTAGAGCATAGCGAAGTACAGTCGTTTGCGTGGACGAGAGCGATGGCGTGTGGAGTTGGGTTGTGGAATGCGCATCGCGGTGATTGTCGCATCATGACGTCGTTGACCAAGCCCTCAGGAGACGCTGGCGTAGGCCATACACACTGCACAGCAGCATTGCATGAGCTCCAGAGTGTGTCATATCTTCACAGCGATACTGATTTGATCGTTCGATGCTGCAATTTACCTCGCAGTCGTGCAGCCGTGCGCGGAAAGCAATCTGCGCGTCGTCGGGAATTTTGCCGCTAGTGGTCTTGGCGTTCCAGGTGAACTTCGAACTCCTCGGACATGAACTAGCCACCACGCTCCCTCAACAAACCGCACACAGCCCCAGTATTCAATAATGTCTTTTGTCGATGGCTGAGCTCTTTTTGCGAGCTTTTGTTGGACTGTATCAGCTGTCGAAAGCCAACGTGGCCACCCTGCTGCAACCCCGAAGAGCTCGAATTAATCGTTGCGACCAGACCACGAAGCCTCGGAAAATTGTTAAGCTTCTATGTACTAAAACATCTGGTTCTGCAGCATCCAATCATCGGTTGTGAGTATCTTTCCACCTCTGATGTCCTTGAACACATCTAATCCTGTCTCAGGTATGATGTAGTGGTTAGCATACCAGATTTTGAGACGGCCTTCACACGGCTTATATCATAGCTTCTGGTTACCCCGGTGTAAGCGCTTACTTAACCCTGTTGCGTTGTGATCTGTGGCTAACGATCTGTCAGTCGAATCCGGGTACGACCTTGAGATGTTAATTTTTTGCCGAAATTTTTGATCCGAAGCTCCCCCAAGCCACCAATCTTGACGGCTAAGCTTCTCCTGCTTGTTAAACGATCAAGCAGGTGGCATTTCAATTATTGGACCTTAACCGTTGATACTGCTCGTGTGTTGAAGGTTCGGGTTGCCAAATCATTTTTTGTTGGTGCAGCTCACTTTTTCGCAGCGGTGAGCATGTCTTGTGCGAAGTGATGAGTTCAGATGAATAGAAAGGCAACCGACGGTGCACAGTTCACGCATAGTTATCTTCCTTTCGTCAAAGTACCTCTATACCCATCCGAGACAGCGCTCGCTGAAACGCTAGACCAATCGAAGCTCCAAGCAAGCAGAGGTGTTGCCACCACAATGCGTCTTTCAATATATGCACCCATTGATCAGAAGATTACCAATATGACCACTCAGGCCAGCCGAGAAGATGATGTCCAACACCAGTATTCCATGCTCATGATCCATCACATTATGTCGTCTCACAGCGGCACATCCTCCATCATCTCCACGGCACCTTCTCTTCCAACAGTTAAGATTACATCCCCCAGCGTCTTGGTCGCGAAGCCAGCCTCGCAGTATGCAAAGTAGTATTCCCATTTCTTCTTGAAGATTTCGACCTCCTCTTCGGACATCTTGCGGCCTTGGCGTTCCTGGAATTCCATGATCAGAGCAGGTCTGATCTTGGTTGCGAATGATTGCATGAAGTTCTGTCTCCATAATCTCAAAGTCTTCGCATAGTGTGGCCCAATATTCTCCACACTTTCGGGGATCAATCGTGGCTCGACACCTTTCTTCGCATCGCTCGATCCAGCACGTATGCTGTCGAGCAACTGCGTGATCGTAGGCAGATGGCCGCCAGGGAAGATGTATCGGCGGATGAAATCATCCGAGTTGGCGTATCCCATATATCTGCTCTCTGGTATCGTGATACACTGGAAGCATGCCACACCGCCCTCGCTCTTCAACAGCTGATCCACGCAGCGGAAGTATGTCTCCAAGTATTCCGCTCCCACAGCTTCCAGCATCTCAATCGAGACCACCTTGTCGTATTTGTCCTCCTCTTTCGGCGGCACAGGCAGAGATCGATAGTCGCACAAGAGAACCTTGATACGACTGCTGTATCCCTTCGCCGCAATCCTCTCTTCTGCCAACTTCTTCTGCTCTTCCGACAGAGTCAGAGACGTAACTCTGCACCCGGTCTTTTCGACCGCAAGTATAGCGAACGAGCCCCACCCAGTACCAATCTCCAGCACATGATCGCTCGCCTTGATCTTGCAGTTCCGAATAAAGCGATTAAGCTTCCGATACTGCGCCTGCTCGAGCGTCTCTTGCGCACACATCGGATCAGATTTCGGCAAAAAGATCGGACATGAGTATGTCATGTCTGGGCTCAGGAAAGCCTCAAACATGGTGTTCGAGATATCGTAATGGGCGGAGATGTTCAATTTCGCGTTCGTAAGGTCGTTCGTTTTCCTGATCAAACCTGAGATTCTTCCGAGGATGTTACTGCTCAATGTCGTGCCGTTGGACAAGTACTTTTTATTATTGATGAATAATTTGAAGAATGCTGTCAGATCTGTGCAGGAGACTTCTCCCAGCATGTAGGACTCTGCTAGGCCCATGTCTGCGAAGAGGAGGAGTCGAATCCAGAACATGTCTTGGTGCACTGTGAGCTCCGAATGCGCAGTTGCGTAGACATTCTTCTCGGAGTTCTCGTCTTCCAGACCAGCTGGTTTTGGCGACCCGCAGACTGTGGTTGTGCCATCGGTGTCGGTGATTTTCAGAGAGCCAATCTGGATATTCCGGAGCAAGTTGAGGATTTGACTGCGTGCTAGCGATAAGAGAGGAGGGTACACCCATGGTGTAGCGAAGGAGGCCATCACCGCCGCACCGCGTTGAAGCATGGTGAAGCTCGATTTCTCGCCCGGATCTCAACCAGATATTCGTGGGAGGCTGCAATGAACGCTACGCGTGGTTGTCTGTAATGCGGAGATGTAGCCGAGCTTCCACGACACCAAGAATTCTACTTGAGACTTCTGCGTCGCGAAACCAAGGTCCTAACTTTCTTGCAGAATGGTAGACGTATGTCCCAACAGCAACGACTATGGCAATCCCACTCAACGTTCTCGGCCGTTAGCAACGTCCAGAGCTTTCCGGACTCCGTCTTATCGTAATCAATGCTCCGAACTTCAAGGATGATAGCAGGAGCGCAACAGTAGATGACGCGTAGTTGTGAGGAAGAAGAGGAGCTGAGCAGGTTGTGAACCAAAAATCGAAATCAACGCACCTTGAGGGTTAAGCAGCGCCTTTTGCAAAAGCTCTCGCACATTCCGCCGCGTCTGTCGGCAAGTTGCGATTTCGAGCTACGGGGACTGCGGAAGTGCGTGGCCGGGAGGATGACCGACCGAGCGTAGACCGTTTGGAGGCGTTCCCAGCGCCAGTGGAGGAGTAGGATGATTGGTGTGACGTCTTTGACTTGCTGTAGTGGGAATGGTTGCTATGCGGCATCGCAGGATTGAGTTTGGATAGCTTCGCTATCAGAGACATTTTCGAGCACGCTTTGACGCCCTGTTCATCAGCTCGAATGCGTTGTTCGACTTCTTTGGATGGAATGTTGTTCGATATTATCCGGTAGAGTGGCAGAGTGGCACATGGGCCTTCATGTGAGTCCGCACACCTGCAGCTTGCTGAAGAATTCAAGCGATGGTCCAAGCCACGAGAATCGAGATCGATCACCGGCACGAAATGCCGGAGAAATGCCCCTCCAATGCTTGCAGCGGGGCTCGAACCTTGGCAGGTACAGCTGCTTGGCCTGTCCAGAAGTAGTATGCTCAATTGCACGGTGGACAAAATGTCTTCATGTCCTCTACGTTCTTCGATATACCTCTTACGCATACCAGAGCGAAGTACTAGCATGAAACAAGGTCACTCACGATGGTTTCGTGTTGGATGTCAACCCTTCCGGTCTGATTCGACGGATTAGTGATCTCGATACCGTGCTGGAAGTTACGCGCGTAGATCACAATCCTGCTGTCTCGAAGCCAAGAAAATACGGTCACGAATTGCACGCTCTTCGTGGACTTCATACTCCTCACCCACCATAGGGACCGAGATTTTTGTGCCAATGACGGATCGAAATCTCCTAGCACATGATGTTCCTGCAGTAGGCCCACCATATTTGGCGAGAAAAAGATCAGGATTGCATGGGACAGCTTGTGACCGCATGATCTTACGGAATTCGAAAAGCAGACATCCCAGAGCAGAGGACATGATCGGACGAATCTGCCGTACGAATCTGGATGAAAGCCGTTGACGAAAGTCCTCGAGCGGATGACAAATTGTCACAATTCCGATCGTTCAAGGCCTACCTACCGAGCTGAAGGTGAAGCACGCAGCTAGGATGTGTGTCAAGCGTGCAGCGCGCTCTCGGATCCTTGACAGCATCAGCTCCATGTCATCAGACCACCGTTAATTATGTTTTTTGCGGCTTGTCGTTGGCGGCACGGGTGGTTCTGCTCTGGATCATCACATCACCAGCAGGATACTCTTGGCAATCGCGGTAATGGAGGTGAAGATACTAATCATTCATTGTCATATCTGCGTATGATCGTGATTGCATATTCCGCTAAGTCAAGCAAGCCCGTGCCTTGTAACACTCTAAGGCTCACACTCTCCATAGTTTCCACCATAGAGGCTGCAGTAACCGGAGCAGCACTGGAAGTCGTACGAGCAAGGAGCTGGATCGGAACGTTAGCAAGTGACACAGGCACAAAACGAAACGAGGTTAAGGGCTGTTTACCAAAAGCTTCGAGGCAGTTTCCGCCGAACTGAGCCTCAGGCTCGGGGATAGGACTGTAGCACGAACGGTGAGCAAACAGGAAGCGGAACTTCCAGTCGTGGTTCACTTACCCAGCCACGGCCAGGGTGACAATGGCGAGAACGGTGGAGAAGATGGAGAACTTCATTGTTTTGAATTGTTTTGGTCTTGCTGGTATGTTCGGGTTATTGAGCTGTTGATTGATGGTAATGAAGCTCGACACAGGTTTCCACGGACCATTATATATCATTCGTGCCCAAACTACCCTCTCGCTTATCAGACATGAAAAGGCAGCGATGTTCAGCCAAGAGTTCAAGAACTATACCTCCATTCTCGAGGAAGCCACTAATGCTATACCACAGTGGACTCCAGAAGTATGCTTACACGCTTTCTCAACAACGTGTACAGACCTGCGAGCAACATTGGCTGTTCTCGAACGACCAGCTTCGCTAAGGAACAAGGCGGCCTCCTGCGCCCCGCATTTGTGCTTTCCAGCTTTTGTCTAAAGCTTTGCGATGCTTACCAGAAGCCACTGGATCGACGCTTTTAGCTCAAGACAGCCAGCCAAGACTACTTCTGCTTCCGCATAGGGTCTAAGGGCTCGGTTCTAAATCTGACTCTGGTATAGCTTCGGTTGATCTCTGTGTATTTGGCATTTGCTATGTAGCATGCCGGTAGATCAGTTGTATGCAGTCTATAAGCTTATCGGGGGCGGCAGAAGAAGCCAGAAATATTTGTCTTAACGCCCATTACAAACACTTCGTTACCCCAACAAGTTCAACCAAGACCTCGCTCATAAACAAACGAGGTTGGTGTTTCCTGTCAGCAACGTCCTATCGGGGCAAGGGGTTACATGAGCTAGCACTTCATCAAAATAAAGTCTTTGGCCGTCATATCTTGGCGGAACTGCCCACCCTACATCATTGCAGAGACGTGCAATGATTGGATCGAACTCCTGCTAGTAGCATTGACCTGATGCAGCTCCTGCAAGAGCTACAGCCACGGCGTCATTTGCCGTGCCGTGAAGAGTCCCCTGGATCGCATGCTCCCTTTCCACCTTTCCAAGATCTATGCCCCTCAGCTCACTCCCATCATCTTGCCAGTCAAGTTTACCAGCGAGTCTCAGTATATGCCTCTGTGGCCTTCTTTACAGTTCACGGAGCAGTGGTGCCGTCTCTGTTCCTGATTCGCCTGTTGGGCCCGCGTCTCGTCTGATGACGACAAATAAAATGCCCTGAATGAGGGCAAAAATCAGGTTCCCCACAGTCGCCCAGCCCACCGTCTGATACCACACAATCAATTTGATGGATAGAGAGTGTTGTGGCAGTCCAGGCTCGACATCGAATGATCCACGCGGTATCCTCAATCTGAAGATCCAGCTGATGCCAACGACCAAGAATACGACTGCTTGCACTGCCAAACCAAAGACGCTCACGTTTCTCGGCCCCACAACGGAACGTGTGGCCCGAATCTGTGTTAGTAGTCCGAGGACAGCAAGGGCGTTGACGACAAGATTGACGAAGATTAGGTGCACTCCACTGAAAAGTGCACGCCCCCAATCGGACCCATCGTCTTCTTGAAGCGTGGTCTCGTATGCGACGAATGCCAATGAAAATGTGATGTAAACCAAGTATGCCGTACTCAGCGCAAGCTTCTGCTTCGTGGAAATTGGAGGAAGCCATAGTACCAGTGCGAATCTGTGTTCGTTAGGCATCGGTGTATTGAATGACGTGTGCATGAGAACCTACAAGAACACATGACAGATCCACACAGTCGTCAGCTGTACCACGTTAAGCCAATCATCAAGTCCGGCCTTCAGTTGCTCGTGCAGAAAACTGTGTGGCTCGATGAGTATTCCTTGTAGGCCGAGTGTCAACTGTTCTGTGGCTAACACCAGATTGAAAAGTGTGCATAGAGGCGATAGTCCGGCGCTGGAATTGGAGATCCATAGAAGTGTAAGTTGCGGACCGAATGAGATGGCGGAGAATCCGATGAAGAGGCTGTCGATCACATCAGCTTGTGTCTGCAATGTGCACAAATATGACGAACAGTGCCAAAATTCGCGAAAGTGCTGCCATCGTTGCAGCGCCGGATGTCCTTAGCGAGTGCTGAGAAATAGCGATGGCAACCTTCTGGACACATATATGCTGCTGAGGGGCACGGAAAGATTGGCCTCGAATGCTCCATCCTGGCCCACTTTTCCAGGCGGCGGTCAAGTGAAACGTGAAGCCAACTTTATGCGTATAAGTACGCCGCGGGCACACATGCCTCTTCCACAGCCGATGAGTGGCGTCCCTGATCTGATGAGCCCCATTGCGATCAATAGATTCTGCGAAGAGTGCTTGCATCATGATGGTTTGAAATCAGATTCCGAGTGTGTCGTTTGGTGATGGAATTTTTGGCGCACGTGTTAACTGTTGTTCGACCACCAAATCAGCGTACGGGATCGATAGACGACTATACGAGCACGGCCGCCTGCAGATTATATACATAACATTGAGTAAGAAATAGACCTTGTGCTAGACCAAAAGCCGCCCTGGCCATTTTGAGAAGGGTATATCTGCAGTCGCGTTGTTCCGTAGAGACTGAGACCATCTTCTCGTCCGAGTCCAACTCGTGAGGTAGGAAGCTCCTAGCCCACCAGGGAAAGGCGTGCTTGCTGGCCGACGTTTCGGGTAACGAACGAAAGTGTTGGCACAGTTCTTCGTTCATATCCCGATCTCGACAGAAACGGCATTGATTCACACTCATCTCAACTCACAAAGTCACGAACTTATGCGCATTGCTCAAGGTCAACTTCGTCTCTCCATCATAGATTGCCAGATTCTCTCGCGCGATACTAGCAGCTTCTTCGATAATGCCAGGTACTCGAGAGTTCCGCGGAATGAATCGAGCTTGACTTCTTCACCCTTTCTATGGTCAGCATACATTCTTTCCTCTCATGGCCGTCGAAATACCTTGTCATCGAGACCAGGAGCGATCTTGAAAGCCCACAACAGCCTCGCTGTCACGAGACGCAGCCCCTGCTCGGCCAGTGGCTGACCACTGCATTGTCTTCGCCCCCATCCGAAGGCATTGTGACCTTTCTTCGAAGGGTACGGCATTCTCTCATCCAAAAATCGTTCAGGACGAACCTCATCGGGATCTGGAAAGTCGCGAGGATTTCGATGGATGGCCCATACATTACCAACAATCCAAGTGTCTTTTGGGAACACATAGCCTTGATACTCGTCGTCTTGAATAGGCGCATGAGGAATGCCGCCAAGAATAGTCACTGTCCGCCATCGCAGTACCTCCTCAACCAGAGCGTCAACGTATGGTAGCTCATCGTCCCAGTCTGGAAGCCGATCTGGTCCTACGACACGCTCGATCTCCTCGTACGCCTTCTGTTGAGCTCGAGGGAAGCAACACATGGCAAGGATCATACTGATCATGGAACTGCTTGTAGTGTCCACGCCCCCGCCGATGAGATTGGCCGTCAAGTTGCCAGCTTCCTTCCAGGTGATGCGGCCTGCTGTATATTCCTCATAAACTTTGGCGGAGAATTTGGCGACGTCTGCTTTGTTCTTCGCTTCCGTAGTCAAGGCAAAGAACCAACGGGTCTGTCTATGAGCGAGGTACCGAATCAATCTTGGCAAGGGATTGAGGAACACTGGCAGCTGGGTGATTGCCGGTATCACTTCCATGATCGATTGGCCGGGAATGACGGCGTTGACAACTTCCATGAAGGCGAGAGCTTGCTTTGCGACATAGTCATTCAGGTTGTCGATACGTCTGCCCCATGCTACGACTGACGCTACTGAGCAGGAGTACCGCTCGATGGACTCGACGTAATCGTCTGGACGACGAAGTAGATCCTCCATCAGCACCTTTGTCTCATCACCTTGGAAAGGTCTGTATTCCTTCACGGCCTGAATCCCGACCGCGGTGTGCTAGTCCATTAACTCAAATGCTTTGTCAAACATACGAGGGATTCATATCGCTTACTGTAAGTCTTCTATGCAGCCTCCATTGATCGTTGTACTTCAGGCAGACTTGATTGTTGTTAGTGGTATCTGTCAAATCACCCATCATCTGTGATAGGTGTCAGTATCCTTTGCATTAAACCCTGCGCTGCCGACTTACGACCATCCTTGGTCTGGAAGAATAGATGTTGGCCCGTTTTTCGAAGAGATCAGAGATACACCACGCATCGTTGCACACGATCACCGGACGATGTCCATTCCAAAGTGTGATCATGGCCGACTTGTACCGTATGCCAAGCTGTTCCCAGCGTATCCATGGTCGCTTCTGCCGCATGTGAAAGTAGTTTCCGAGCAACGGCAGAGACAGTGGGCCTGGCGGTAGCTGCTTTCGCAAGCGTAAGACCCGGCGATAGTCCTGAGCTAGCCGTATCAAGAAGGATATTACCAGCGCGATGAGCACGCCGTATATAAGTCGATCGAGTGAGAGCATCATACAAGGTCAATTCCTTCACGTGTCCTAGAGGAAGTTATTGGAAACACTCTTTATACTGTCAGAAGCGGAGCTAGTCAAGATATGCACTTTTATGTTTGTGAAAATTGAGCACAAAAGCTCGCCCCGCGGGACAGTGACCTGCCATTCGGATGATCAAGCTAGTCACAGTAATCCAGTGACCATCTTGCTGGGACGTACTTCGCCAGAACAATGGCATTTATTCGTTGGGATCAACTGCCGATGGTCCCACCCTTGTCTGACATACTACGGTATGCCTGTCGAACAACGTGCGGCCAAGGTTTTAAAGCTTCAGACGTGCTGAGAATCGTCTGGGCATCGCTGATGCTTCCGCAGGTCCGAGTTCGATATATGACTTGTCCGCGCATTACTGTCCGCTCATATCGAGCTGGGAAAGTCGAGATGAGACATAGTGGGAAGACATGGCACCGGCACCACGTACGACTAGGACCATGAAGGCCATGAAGGAGTTGAAGGTCAGTGTATCGCACCAGTAGTATCGTCGCCAGAAGTCCCGTGGCGGCTATCGAGTTTGTGGCCAATGGAAAGCTGACAAGCTGTTTGCATGCGTGCTGACTACAACAAACATGACTAGTTCTACTCGCGGCTTACGACAAGCGTTTGGCTCCGAATCGAAAGCCCGAATTCCACAAGGTATGTTCTCTGCAGCCTCTGGCGAGAAGCACTGGACTGGGATGCATACTTCTTTTCCACCAGACCGAGAGGGAAAAAATGGGCGTATTCTGCTTCGCAGTTGGAAAGATCGGCAATACATATCTTCGAGACTGGTTTGACAGTAATCCGAACAGCAGCATGTAGAGTTGCTGGAGAAGTAAGACGGAATGGCTCTGCATAGCTTGCACCACAGCTTGTGAACAAGGACGATTGCCATCGCGGGAAATTCGCTCGATGAAGCAAGTCACCTTAGCCTTGGTTTATAACCCTTCTTGCCCGCTGAGACCGAGTCAGCCTCTTCGGGCATCGTATCAGAGATGCATGATGAGTCACCGGCCCAAGAATACAACCTCACACCCTTCCTCGAGCGGTCTCGATAGAACCCCTTCAATTTCCCCGAAATGGAAGCTCGTTAACACATGGCCAAGCAAAGAGTCCAGGAATGTGTACGCTCACTTCTGAAGTTCTCGAAAACTGTCGACCAGTAAGCTTACTGCACATAGCTCCGGTACGTCTCGCAACGGTATCAAGTCGTTTCATGGTTCCCGGACTGTTCTGGTGACATTGAATCCAAGGCCTTTAGCTTTCGAAACTTCCATTCACACTATTCCACTTCCATATCGCAACTCGCCAGATATAGTCACTGTTATAGCTAGGTCATATGGAGCTCAAGTCCACATTCAATAGTAACCTGCGCTCTTCTTCTTCTTGCAAGTAGGCGCATGACGTGGATACTTCGTGGCTGTCACTGTCTTCTTCTTCGTGGTCGTGATGGTCTTCCCCTTCTTTGTAACCGTTGCAGTCGTCGTCGTTGTCGTGGGATTTGTGACTGTTATAGTCGACGTCGCCGTGTTGCAGATCTGTGACGAGGGAGTCAGACATGACAGCAGGGACAGGAGGTGCTGACAGTGAAACTTACCACATCAGCAGGCCTAGTCGCTGTGATCGTGGCGGTGGTAGTAGAGGTTGTGACGAAGAAGCTGATCGTGGAAGTTGTCACTTCTCCGTTCGACACCTGTCGACGAACATTTGGGTCAGCGAGGATGTCTTGTCTTGCTTGGTCGCTGGCGCTGTGGTGCGAACTCACCGTGCATGTTCCGACGTCAGCGTTTTGGCGTGCAAAAATCGAGACATGATCGCTATCCCGAGCGTATCGCGTCTTGGGGGGGCGGCAGGTCGATGTTATGGTTCGGGTAACTGTCCTGTAACACGTCGAGGTCTTGGGCTTTGCAACCGTCACTGTGGTAGAAGCGGTCACAGTAGAGGCCTGAGTCGCTGTCGCGGTGGAAGTCGCACAGGTGCTCGTGACGGCGGGTTGATCCACAGTAGTCGTCGTGGTGCTGGTCGCGGTCTCGGTGCCAATCAGTTCCGCAGGTGTGGTTGTGCTTGTAGTCACCAGGCTAGTGCACGAGCGACTGGCGGCGACAAATGGGGCTGCCGACTGGCTATACACGTTGACACCGTTGGTCGGATTGCCGCAGAATCCACCACCCGAAGGACATGGCGCAGTGCATCGACTGTCGGCAGCTTCATACCGTTCCGGGTTGAGCTCCTCCCCGCACGCGCATCGAGCTCCCGGCGACCCCGAGGAGTCACTGCGCTGAATGGCGAAGTAGCCAACATTTACAAACAGTTCGCCGCTACATTTCGAGCGACACTGTTCGAGAGATGCGGACTCTCCGGCGTTGACTATCGGCCCTAATAGATCGAGAAGCGTGTCCTCAACGACGCCATCGAAACATCCAATGTAGCCGCTGCACTCGGGCAAGAAATCAGCAATCGCAATGACTTCTTCGAGGGTTGTGTACTCTTACAATGGCCCCACCACCGCTGTGTTTGGATTTGGCTCGAAGCAATTGTTCACATACAACGACTATCGCTTGATGTTAACACGATTTCTTCTTGGACAAGAAATTTGAATGCACGATATGTAGCACTTACCCCAACACCTTCACCGCGGCATATTTCAGTGGGATTACCTGGACAAGGTTGATTGCAGCGGGCGGGGTCGACAGGATCGACAGACAGTATCGAAGGAGAGCAATAGCAATAGGGAACACCTTGGTCAATACTTCCATACAAGAAGTATGGGTACCGGTCCACCTTGCAATACTCAGCGCAAGCATCTAGGGTGTTTCCGTTGGGAGGAAAGGTGCCAAAATTCCCAGGTCCTAGCCCATCATTTGTTGGAAGACTAATTGGATCATTAGGTGCCTTTCAAACGCGTTGTGGCTCAGAGACACGGCTCTCGGACATACCAGTACGCGAACGAGTAGTCTCGAACGTCGCACGGCTGCACCGCTTGCGCTGCTGCTGTGCCGAAACCGGCTGCGACTAGCAGCAGATGCCACATGACGATGTGTACAGAGGAGGCAGCGAAAGGTGCGGTGGAAAGGGTGCGACGTCCGAAGACAAGCACAGTCGGGGGAGGCTTGGTGTTAAAAAGCCCAATGGCGGACATGCTGCAAATTGCGTTCAAGCCATCGCTCCAAAGGAGATGCAGTGGCATCTGCTGATGAAGTCTGGAACAGTATTAGCTTGAGAAGGTCGACGCCTGATAGTCTTCCCATGGGAAGCCACATGCGCCACATTCTCGCCTGGTTCTGTTCGTGATTCGTCGAAGTTCAAGCCGTGTGCATAAGCTGAAGAGGGGACAGCGGGATGGAAGAGAGCAATCAGTCGCTGTCCTGCACGATCCTGTGTTCTGTGCAAATTTTCTCCCCAGTCTAGAGCTGTACATTCTGCATTAAGCATGTCGATCGAAAGTTTTGACCCAAACTGAGAGCCTCGAATGAGAACCTCTCCATCCTCCTGCCCAAATTGGGATTAGCTTGACAGCGGCTGAATAAATATCTGAGTCGAAATTGCACCACGACAGCTAGCGCACATTTCGAGCTCTCGCACGATGGCATCTGACACGGTCGGAAGTCGAAGTGATTTCTAGCAGAAGACTCGAGTATCGCGCGTCTTGTAAGCTCTAAGTAGACCACAGCGCCAAGAGAATTCATTCCAAGCTCCGTATCTAGTATTGATCGATGATAAAGAACGTTGCAGTCCTTCTTCCATGTGTGCTTCACGCTCTTTCCTTCACCTGCGTTCGTGTGGCCGTTTATGGACCGCCTGCAATAGAGGTTTTCTCCCAGTAGCCTTGGCCAATACCGCGGCATGCGTTGACGACGCAGTAGTCTTCTGTTTGACCCTTGTTGGGAGATTTGATCACGTATGGTTCGCCGTCTTTGAAGCAACCATTCGTCGAGCATCGAACATTTCGGACGGTGTACTGTGACAGTGGGTCAGCTTTCTGGTATAGATATCGCGGCGGTCTGAGCGCGAAACCAACTTACAGCAGTGTACGCGATTCGCTGCCAGACGCAGACAGCTTGCCCTCTGACTGCCTGACACTCGGATGCCTGCTCGGTGCTGAAGCTCTTAGACACGGAGAAGCCGCCATTGATCCAGGACACTGGCGTGACGCCAGCTTCGAATCCCACATTGACGCTCTCTCCCTCGGCGTGGACTTTTGTGCAGGTCTCTGCTGAGTCACATCTTAGTGTGCCCTGTGAGACTGGAGTTAGCGTTGCTGCGTGGGGCTTTCCAATTGACATCAACATCGCGAGGCTTACGGTAATCTGCACATTCTTGAAGTTCTGGTGCGGGTTGCCGTTACCAACGAGCTCCGTGGAACGTCGGCCAGCACCTTGGCGCTCGAAGATGGATGGTAGACTTTGGGGTTCACCGCTCGGGAGGCCCGCAACGAAGGTGAAGGATGCCACGAGAGCGAAGATGCTGAATATTGGGGTCATGGTGATGTCAAGTTCACTGCTGCAGTGAATCGTGATATGGTGTCTGATTGGGGCTGCTCAAACGAGGAGAAAGCTGTGTGATGTCGAGATGAATCTTAGTGTGCGAGAGCAGACCATTTAAGTGTTCGAGATATGCCCGTTGGATGACCTTTTATCATCGATCTGGGCCGTGTAGCATAGTCGCCGCGGCTCGAAAATATTCCAACACGCCTAAATATACCAGTGGCACAGTGCTTCCAAGCAATGCGCATGACTTCGCTTGAAATCGCCAGTGAGTAGTGGCGCAGTCCGAATTCGTGCCAATTCCAGCCCGCGTGCCAGGCTGTCGGGCATGAGAACGTCAGTCAGATATCCCCATGGGGCATGCGCCCGGTTACACGACATTTTCTCACCGGCTTGCGAGCCGTTGGCATCGAATTCAATTCGTCGATCTGTATGTAAGTCATGGGCCCGAAATTGATCGACGCTGGGGTGCATGGTCCAGAGAGCCTCACCGGTCGACGACTTCGCTTTGATAGCACAGATATTTACAATCCTCGAATCCTGATGGCCGGCTCGAAAGCCGCGTCCCTTGGCGAGGCGTAGACTTCCCAAGACGGATACAGACGTGCTGTGTGATACATGTACTATGCTCCCCTCACTAATGTGGCAGTGAGGCTTCCTTGAAAGTAGGAAGAGGATTCGAGGAATGCTGGGAGGCCGCCCGCTAGCCGTGAGCAGTAGCCACTGCCACATTATTTCTATCGTTAGGATAATCAATTATGTTGTATCATTGCAGGCCCATGCTAAGCTCAGTTTGTACTCTGATCGAATTTGTAGCTCTCGGTACGTTCGTGAACAGGTGAAATCGACTCTTTGGTGTCTCAGAATCTTGCTTCTAATCGACAGATGAGATTGATAGCCGGCTCGCCAACGCGACTACCCACAGCACAAGATGGACCTTCCAACGCTCTCTCGACCAGGCGATGTTCGTACTCCACTACCACTTCTGGCACAACAATGGATCCCGAAGCAAAACGAAAGGCTTGTGCATATATTGCCACATATCTGCATTTAGGTGTACTCGCGTGGCCGCATTTTCACTAAATACCTAACACTTGAAATCAACTCGACAGACTTTTGGATGAACACTGCAGAATCTCGGTCCTGAAAGGGCAACGCTGGTGCAACAGGCTCTCATTGAATATACGACTCTGCCCACTCACTTTGCTCATTCTGTTCTCTTCCACACAACTAGGAGAATCCTACGGAATCGTTTGCGTGTGCAAGGAAAGAATGTTGTCACAAACAGGCAGCTCTCATCCTCGATGTAAATGCAAGACTATTGGGCTGCACGCTCGTCCTTCTTCCTTCCCGCAGTCGTCATTTGTTCGCAACTCGAGCAGAATACGTTGCATTGATCGAAGATTCGCTCTCGATTTGGGGACGGGATGACGATCCTTCGCAACAGTCCTGTGTGCTGTTCCAGGGCATGAAAACTCGACGAGGGGAGCAGCTTTCTCTGAAGAACTTGCATGATGTACGGAGCTTCGGTCACCAGAGTGGTACAAAGTTTCCTACGGCTGAACGGCTGTGAGCTATGGCATCCCCGATCTGTTTACATGTACATATTCTGCTGATGTTCTCCATTGCAACTGTAGCGACCGCCGCCCAAGGCTCTATGCAGACACTTTCCTCGGCTCTTTTGCAGAAATACCGAACATAACTACGATCTGAACTCATGAATTATGTGCTAATCCGATCCAATACGCCATTGCTAAAAGTATGCCTGTGTTACATTAAAGACTGGAACAATGCTTGCTGATAGTAACTCCTCAATTGAAATTGGTTTCCTTCCGTTTTGAGACGCTTTTCATGTTCCGTGGACAGGCTAGCACGTTTAGAGCAGACCATTCCAATTGAGACTTGGGTGTTTCTCTACGACGCACACATGATCACGCCGCCATCCGCACATCCTCCCAGCCCAGCGTTGTATGCATCCTGAACAAATTAATAGTCAGCATGCTTGTCTCCGTGAGTACCACACTGGATCTGTTGTGAACCACTTACGCCTTTCTCATGAACGAATTGCCCGCCTTCGGCTGTACTGCAGCAAAATGTGACTGTACACAACCACCTTCGTTAGCATTACATGGATTATGGGGAGGGTGCTTGCCTGCTTCATACATTTACCCAATGCTTCGCAGCCACCATTGCCTCCCCATCCCCGATTACAGTAGTAAGTTGTGCCACTTGACGATCCGCCCTTACGGCCTTTGCTCTTCCTTGACTTGGGGCTTGGGGCAGCAACCACCATTGCCCAGAGAGCAGCGAAGATGATGAAAGTGGCCTTCATGATGCTCTTGATCGAAACGTCGTAAGCGTAAGGTGATAATAAACAAATGACAGTAACGAGACGATCTGATGAAGCAATACTTCCCTGCCTTCGTCTGGGCTCTTATACCATTGCTCAATCCCCTCCTTATCGCTTCGCAGTTCTTATCATAGCGCGAGTCCCCTGCCATCTCTCTTTCCGTTAGCATTGAACGTCTTCGGCATATTCAGAATCTGTCATATCGCGTCCGCAACACTGTAGCATCAACTGATAAAGATCTGCGTTGTATGCTTCTGGTTAGTCTGTGTGATTACTGATCTCTTAGACTAGCTGTTAGCCGTCTCAGGTGTTCTTAGTAACGCACCAAAACACGTGAACCTTCGGCCCGAAGTATTTCGGGCATTTGTATGCAAAACTCGGTGACGCTGTTCCAGACTGTGCACGCATACCGTTCGTGGAATTCCTGCAAGCGCGGGACGAACACCTAACAGTGCATGGTCGGCCATCAACTTGATGTCTTTCCGAGCTCCCTATACTATCTCTGGACTGATGTCTGGCTTCCTGAATTCACCGAGAAACATGCCGTGATGTAGATGTTTCAGATCACTCGTGCGGTCGCGTGATCAGTTTCAGTACAAGTGCCCTATATTCGATTTCGGCTCCGAATAATATGCTGCGTCTGTCTGGTGCGTTGCCCAAAGTACACATTCCTACATCTGTCCCTCGTGAAAAAGAATGTAAGCATCGAACTCGAAAGCTATGCTTTCAGTAGGGTTTGCAACGGGTCTGCTGTGCGAACTTGTAGACAAAGGTTCCAGTATCGACCATCCATGCTTTAATCGAAGCACAGCTCTGAACTGAGTATGCATCAGCATTGGCTGAATCTGCTCTCATCGGCTCCGTCGGAAGTCGAAAGAGAATATATGAGGCTGCCCCTACCACTTAGCGGATTGCTGAGAAGTCCCTTGCCCCCTCAGTTGGCTACTATCATGAATGCCTTGCGCACATCCTTTGATCGAGTAAAAGAATTTACCATCGCACCTGTGAACTGAAAGTAACAAAGTTGGCCTTTGCTAGGCATAAAAATTCTTCATAAATACAAGTGAGTAAGATTCTTCAAGCTCTGCCTGAGCCAAGCATCACGGACTCAAAACAATCCTTCGTAGACCGTGCCCGATACTCATGTCCATCAGCGGCGTCGTCATCGCAATTGCACTCCGCCAACTGCGTAAAAGCTATACATGCTCTTATCTACTCCGCACACAGAATTGTGCCACCATCCGCGCAGCCTCCCAATCCAGCATTAATCGCTTTCTAAAATCACATCAATCGTCAGCTTGTACACCCGAGAAGCCAAGAGATATGATCTCGGATCAGTGCATCTGATCACTCACAAATTTGGAATGCACAAACTGGCCGCCATAGTCTTGCTTGCAGCAGAATGTATCTGTATCAGTCGTCAGCATCCACAATTTGAGCCAGGCATTCGACTTTCATACAATATCCTTTCGCTTCGCACCCGCCATCACCTCCCCATCCTCTGTTGCAATATGCCAAGATCTTCGCTGACCAGCCCATTGCGTTGAAGCCTAGGAAGGGATCGGGGATGGGTTGGGGTGCAGCGTAGACTGTTGAGATAAGGGCCCAGAGGGCTGTGAAGATGCATGAGAAAGCTTTCATGATGTCGTCGACTGATGTTGTTGCTGTGAGGTGGAAGTGTGGTAGATGGGTTGTGTGACTTTGGTTTGAGTGACTGACTATTGTTCTTGTATTCGCACTCTCATGGTCATGAATTGTGAGATGCGGTGCGAAGGTGAAGTTGCCGGTCTGTACTGTGACCGACTTATGGGAAATTCCTCGGCATATTGGATTGTGAGCGAGGTCTGGACTGCGTTCAATATGCCACATTCGTGAACCTGTGGAGCTATTCTGGGATAACATGCTTGTGCAAGCATAAGCGGAGTCTAGATTCTCGCTATGTGATCTCTAGTCGTCCGTGAGCAGAGTTGTCTACCCCCATATGTTGGATGCCAAGACTCTAGGTCGCTCGTAGAGTCGTTCGAATTCGTAGTGAGCTCTGGGCCCGGTTGAATCCTCATTGTAGTGTTTGTAACGTTGCATCTGTGCTGCATTTTCAGCGATCGCAACGTACTGCACAGTTGCGGCGACATGCGCTCACGGGAATAACGCTGCATCTACTCGGCGAATGATTCTCCATATTCAACTTCGATGTCGCCGGGATACGGTGCTTGGTATCTCAAGCGTCCATAAGTTCAGCTTGGCGTGCTTGGCTCGAGGCACGAATGCCCCAAATATGTTCGCCGATCGGAGCTCGCTTGCATTGCTGCTGATTTTGGCATGCGCGAGTGGGAATACCATCTGACTTTCTGAATACATGTGCACTTGCCATGTACTGAGGACGTATCGAAGTCCCGTCGGAGCATCTTCCGTTCCCTGTGTGCCGTCCGACAGGCATCGGAGTGTGTAATGTGACTGGAGGAGGCAACACGTTCAAGCAGAAAGACGGTAGGAAGACAGATTGCGGCAGAAGCCGATGATACTTCTTGAGTGACCTGACGCTCGCAGGCGTGGTGCAGAGAGCAAATGCTGTTCCCTTCCGAAATATCTCATACAACTCCGCCGGAATTCCCATTGGTCCAGCTTCTGAAATGGCACAGAGCTCTTCTACCCTTCGCTCTCGATTAAGTGCCTCGTCTTGCTAAGATCTGACGCCTTCTCTGCAGTAGCGTAGACCTGCACGAACAGGTTTCCGCATGCGATTTGCCTACACGAGTTTACCTTAACTTGCCGTGTCGACTGGCCGTGTAGATGAAATCCATACTGTGCTGAGCAGCGCACGAGGGTGGCGTGATCGCCAGCGGAGATGTCGTCTCGTGCAGGTATTTTTCTATTAGGTGGTGGCAGAAGTGGTGTTCCACTACGCCATCTGTTGTGGTACCTTAGCAGCTAGGCTACAAACAAGATGCGACGTATAAGAATCTGTAAAACATATTGATAGGAGAGGGGAGGTCTCAAAAAAGAATTCAGCGAGAGCAGACGAAATAGTATTCGAATGAAGGCGGGCGAATAGTAGATTGCACGGCTACTCTAAGGTAGCACAAAGCGAGTGAATATATAGCCTTTTTTCCGTATCGTGCTGATTTTAAAGCAGCCCTGCGTAAGTTACCGTCTTTCCAATCGAGCTTACTGCATTTCCAATCGCCCTTATAAATCAAACAATTAAATCATCATCCTTACAAATAACAAAAAGACCACTAAGGGCCTGAAGCACGCCTTGTTTACTTGTGACAGCCAGTCTGGTGCTCTAAGTCGTATCGTATGAGTAGACTAATGTCAATCGCATACTGCCCCTTGGAACAGGTGGATTATGGGTTCCTTGTTGACTTAGCCGGTACTCCTCGAGAACCGTAGGCAAATCCAGCAAGACAGCCGAGTTGTCTTCATCGAAGCCGTGCGGGCCAGCTCCAGAATATGTAGGTCGTATCGTGCCTTCAAGATTATTTCGATTTGGCGGCCAGGCCGATCCTCGTCTGATAGTAATGCGTACTGACCCGTCTGTTGGGCCAGGACCCCACGAATAAGCTATCCGGTTTCCATCAGTCGACCCTTCTCGCAGGGTTCGGGCAGGTACCGCTAAGTCGATGAAGTCGGTGACTGAGGTGCGACGTGGAGGAGGTTGCGGTCGATAACAACAGCCCAAGTAGTTACGGCAACAAGTCTGAGGATCGGGGAGTGCAGTGGCTCCACAAGTTGCGGAGAGCAGAGCCACGAACTGAAGCAAACAGAGGAGTGTTTTGTAAAGCATCGCAGTAAGTAGGGTCCTTCGAGCGACCTGGTGATGTTGATGTACCAGCTAATGTCGCAAGCCAGTAGTAGATTATATAGGAAAAGCGGCTGGAGACTAAGAATCTGGCGACTGGAACGTGATATTGATGTACTCACGAGTCATGTACTCGATGTCAGGAGCTCTTCGTAAAAATCGTGAAACTAGCAAGGACACCCTTGGGAGATCTGGGGGAAGAACCCTAAACTAATTGCCATAGACGCACTCGGACTCGTGATCTGACTCATCTGGCAGACCGTCAGCTCGTATGTTAGCTTATCAAGCTCGAACTCTGAACCATTGGAAGCTATATTGAGACTTAGGGCAGCTGAATCTGGAAGGAGCCTCTATATGGCGCTCCATCCTTTTACGAGCTTGTGCGGGACACGTGCCTAAGTCTTTGAGCTCCTCGCATCGATGTTCGTAGAGCATGTAAGTGGATTCGTTGAGGTTAGCAGCAGGAGATGGCTTGTCATGACGCTCTCTCGCCAGTTGAGGTCGACCACTAGCTGAAGACCGACATCGATCGCAAAACAAGCGGTGTTGGTTGCAGCCAAGGTCGCTGGTTCTCTCTCATTGCTTTCGTGATGTGCGCATACAGACCCAGTCTGTGAGAATCGCCTTCCCTGGCCTTGAGGGTGTGTATAGTTCTTCCGCTCTATCTGTTCTTTCCAGTGCTAGGCCAGGACACGGAATTGCAAAGGACTGGTCATCGCGAGACAGGTGTCTGTCTCAGAGTCTCTGAGCAACATGATAATAGCAAAGGCCTTTCAAGCGTGGACCAAACTTGAGCGAGCGGTTCGGCAAAGACTTGCATTAACTTAGTGGATCATACTTCGCGGACGGAACAGTCTGTGGTTGCTCCTCCTTCATGCTTAGTACGCCTCTGCCATGTGGCCTCAAAGCACTGGCTGTTTGGCAGATGGATCAGTTTGTCACGAGGGAGGCGATCTCACAGCTGTTTACTCTTGGACCAGCCGGTCCTGCTGGCAACAGTCTGACCGCCGCCTCTTCCGGGTATCCTGAGCACCTGTAGCATTGACATCGTAACCGAAACGATTCCCTACCGTGCGATAGTGCTGTTGGTAGGCGCTTTGCTACAGCAGTGGTTGACCTGGCAGCGCAGGCATGAGCGTGTGGGGGAGTTTCTTCTCTGTTGACGCTGGAATGCTTGCCGTTTTTGCCAACAGTACTGATTGAAGTCACTATCGGCGCAAGCATCTCAAGTGCAATCGAGCCAGCCTACGCTCACGTTGTAGCGTGAACTGGCGGCTGTGAGTAATGCTGCTCTAATCCCGTAACGACAGGCATCTCGGTGGCGTGTATGCGTTTTCCCGTCTGCTTCGGCATGTCTTGAGACTGCCTGTCGGTACGTAGACTACCACCGCCTGTTCTCGTCAAAGTCTTTCCCCGACCTTTCTCGATCTATTCGAGCATCAAACTCCTTTTGTGCCTCGGATTTAGCCAACTGCTTGTCTTCATCCCTGGACGAGAACGTGAAGTCATCGCCATCTGACCTTGCACGATTTGAGGAAGGGGATGTCGACGTTGAAGGCGAGGATTTGCCAGACACAGCTTGTTGTCGTAACCGCTCCCAAGCACTGCCGCTCTGCGCCGGTCTCGACTCTTCCTGGGTGGAGAAAGCATCTCTCACGGGCGCCTGCCGCGATTGAACAGGAGATTGACTCTGTTGTGGCTCTCGACTCCGTGAATAGCTCGCCTCTTGCTGCCGTTGCAGACCCTCCGACTGTCTCCTCGCCTGATCGTCGCTCATCATCGCAGTATCTGACACCGCTGCACTGCCCAGGTCAACGTACTCCGACCCGAACGCGCCACCGGTGGGACTCATGTCATCGCCACCACTCTCTGCTTTCGATGATCTTGCCTCTTGCTGCCGTGCTCTGTTATCCCTCATCGCCTCCTGTGCTCGCTGTCGTTGCCTTGCCATGTCCAGTGTCTCGCCCTCTCGTCGCCCGGGAGTCTGGTCAATTTGTCTGTTCCCAGGCAGTCCATTGTTCTTGCCCTGCTTCTGCAACGTCTCCATCAACTCTTTCAATCTCGGGTCCATTGCTCGCCCAGCAGTGCCCAGCGTAAGAGCGTATGAGCCAAAGAAGATTTGTCCCATGACGGCGCCAATGATCCAATATGCGTTGAACCGCGCCATATGCCAGGCAATTTTCGCGTTCCTGCCTTTGAAAGCCAGAAATCGGTCTGAGTTGAACTTCTCACCGGGCGTGTAGCCTGGGAAGCGGAAGGTCGACATGCCTCGATAGGCCCACAGGCTGGCAATTGCCATCCCCGCTGGTACTCCGAATGAAGCAACTCGTACTGTCTTGGCAGCGTGAAAGGCTAAGGCGTCCAATTCTTCCTGTCGCATGGGTCGCCCGAGGACTTGCTGGGCTTGCTGGCATGACTGAGCAATGGCAGTCCCGAGCTGAGGCGGGTGTGGTGCGGCGCCCAAGAAAGTCCATGGCCGGGGAAGATCATCGAGGCGGACGTGGATGGCGTTGGCGGTGCCGGTGTTGATGGAGATATACGATGGATCGCGTGTTGCGAGCTGGGTGGGATTGCGGTCGCCGTAGTACGGGTCGGCGTCGGAGGAGGGGGCGGAGTCGGAGGTGAAGGCGTCGGGCCCTGCGGTGGCTTCTTCAAGCACCATATTGTGCAGTACAATGGGTGGTGCTGAAGGTGGTGAGAGGTAAGGTGTGGTGTGAGTGTCGAAGAGATGGAGCTCCAGAGAGCTACACAAGTGCTGCGTCATTCACTTGACATTGGCCCACTAGCGGCCCGTGCCTTTTCCGGTCTGGCCCCTCTCACCTCCTCCTCTTTCCCGCTTCACACTTCTCTATCCTCATCTTTGCGCTGCAATATTGGTTACATATCTCATCTCGAAAGAGCCTCAGCATCGGTTTTGTACGCCAGAAGCTCGCTTTCATCACCTGGGCAGTACTATCACAAATGCTACTCGCTCGGACAGCCGAATTTGGTGCTGTTCGTCCCAAACCTCACATGGATAGAACTCGCGCTGCATTGCGGCCACCGGCATGAGCAAAGTTCACCGAGTGCGAGCAATATGATTGTGTCGACACATGGATCAATAACTCTGGACACGAAGCCCCTCAAAATGGAGCACCATCTGACACCTTTAATCACCAAGGCCGTTGAGCATTGCAGGCACTGGAGATTGATGCCCTACCTTTGACATCAATGACGATCGTCATGTGCAAACTGGGATGCTGGTGCTGAAGGTGTTTCGATGCGAAACCCAATATCCTTCGAGACGAAGACGTCACCCACTTGATGAAACATGTGATGACTCTGCCCTGCATTTGGCACTTGTGACAGGATTCAACGGCAAATGCTTTTGTGCTTCCAAGACATCTCTCCGCACAGGTGATCCCTTCACATCGACGCACTTGCAACTTGTTCTCGGGTGAGTTCTGGCAGATTTGACTCGTCTCAGGCTGGCTGACTCGCAGAGCGCAAATGTACATCGAGAACGCTCGCCCGGGACTAGGATTCTTGCTTCATCACAGAGGCTTGTCGAGGCTTTTAGTGTTGTGGCTGATCAAGAACCGGGGACTGATCGTAGTACTCATCGTTCCAACTAGCTGCCACCATGTGCACACGGAGAACATTGGACATCAATGAGGATGATGATCGTGCAGATGCTGACGAAACGGTCTCGAGACAGCATCACATCAAATGTCCTCGTAGGCATCCCTACACCATACCTGGAATCACCATCATCGTGCACAACTACGCACCCCGTCTGCCGTCAGTCTTCCACTCATGTTCGGCGTCGGCATCCACGTTCCCGACTTGGTGTAAGCAGCACTTCGGCCTTGCGAGCAGCACGTGGGAACGGAGTTTGTTTCGCAAGCCCTCCTCTGAAACCATATTTGTCTCTGATCCTGAGCTTCTTGCAACGCAATGGCATTGACCCGATCATCGCACGTGTCTCAAGAACTTCGGAAGAGTTCGAAATCCAGGAACAAGACCAGGAAGCCGTGACGGAATGATAGGGATCAACGAAGTCGTCATGTCCTTTTCTTTCCGAGCTTCAGGTGTTATAAGGCCAATCTCAGACAATTGCACTTTCTGGCACCTGCGTTCGAGAAGATCTAAAGAGCGCCACTACGACTAAATCTTTCGTTACTGTTCTGCCTTTGCTTCCCTTTCATCACTCCCTACATTGCTTCTCATCACACTCGTTCAACATGAGATTCGCATACGTCGGCGCTGCTCTGGCTTTCGCCACCACTACTCTCGCTGGAGGTAGTCCCCAAGGTTATGGCGGAGATAGCGTTCCTCAAGCAGCAGGAGAGCCACGACCTGGAGTCGGTGGCTCCGGCCAGAATGGTGGCGGCATGAACGGCGGCTCTGGTCAACAGCCTCCTTTCGTGCCTGGGCAATCCGGAAACGGTATGCCACCGAATGGTGGAAGGACGCAGAGCGATGCACAGCCCGGTCAAGGTCAAGGTCAAGGACAAGGACAAGCTCCCGGAAGAAGGCCAGAAGAAGGACAAGGGCAGCGACCAAATAGAGGTCCATCTGGAAATGGCATGCAGTATGGTCCTCAGAGCCAAGGCCAAGGACAAACTGGCCCTCAGCCGGGACAAGGTGAGCTACTGGGTTCTCCGCGATTTGAACGACGGATCGGAGCTAATTAATCTTAGGTGGTGGTAGGCCTAGCGGCGCAACCCCACAAAACGGTGGACAAGCACAAGGAAGACCAGGCCAAGGCAGCACTGAGTCCTCTCCCGTAGGAGGCAATGGCCAGCCTCACCAAGGTCAGCCAGGCCACGGCGGAACTGAGTCGTCTCCTGTCGGCGGCGGAAATCAGCCTGGGCAAGGAAGGCCAGGTCAAGGTGGCACTGAGTCGTCTCCTGTCGGTGGCAATGGACGACCTGGCCAAGGCGGCGCAGGCCAAGGCCAACGAGGTCCTTCTTTCTATGAAGGGTCGGGTCAAGGTGGCAGGCCTGGTCAAGGAGGAACGCAGTCATCTCCTGTTGGTGGCAACGGCGCTGGCAATGGCGGAAACTTCCAGTTCCAAGGACCTCAGTGTTGCATTCAATCGTCCCCCGGAGGCGGACAACCAGGACGACAGCCATCTTCAGGCGGTCCGAATGGCCCTCAGCCTGGACAAGGTGGACGACAGTCTTCTCCCACCGGCTCTTCACCTGGCAACGGTCAGCCAGGGTCTCCAAATTACGGCTCTCCGCAAGGCAATGGTGGCCCACCGCGAGGTGGACAGCAGTCTTCGCCAATCGGCTCATCTCCAGGTCAAGGACAGCCGGGACGCGGTCAGCCGGGACAAGGACAACCTCAGCCAAACAGACAATCTCCTCAAGGCTACGGTGGCAAACGTTCTGTCAAGCGTCAAGCTGGTGGGCAGATGCCACCTAGCACTGGCGGGCAGATGCCTGGAGGTGCTGGTGGGCAGTCTCCTGCTGCAGCGGGGGGCTCTGGGTCATACGGCCAGTGCATCTCTCCAGAAGAGGGTCTACAATGGCTCGATCAGTTCATCTCTGTCCTTGGTCACACTGCGCCTAACCTTGAAGAGACTGCGAACCAGATCATTGCCGATCAATTTACTGAGATCTCGAACTCGATTTTGTCGCTGCAAGGCAAGCCTGTAAGTGATCTGACACTGACAATCAGCTCATTGAAGACGATGCTAACCGCTGTGCAGCAAACTGCGCAAAGTGTTGCAGCGCCAAGCAAGCAGGCTTGGGTCCAAGGCATTATCAGTAAGTTGATCGGAAGCTTCTTGCGGACATCGAGCTGACATATTTGTAGAAGCACCTCCTCCAGAGGGCATCCAGACTCTGGATGTCGTTGTTGGCTGCAACAAGCTCGTCTGGTACTGGAGCTTTGAGAAGGTCGGAGCTGGCCGTTACCCTACTAACGGCTTCAACCTCTTCACCCTTACCCGCGGCGGGCAAGGTTTGCAGGCTGAGAAGCTCAACTTGGAGTTCGATAGCATCGCTTGGGGTCTGAACACTGGCGAGATTGGCAGCGTCACTTATGCCAACGGAACCGAAGCTCAAGCTGCTATGGAGTTCCGAGGTGGTCCCGGAAAGGGTGAGGGTCAGAGCTCGCAAGGCGGGAAGTAGAGGCATGACAGTGAGGATCGGGTAAGGTTGTGTTGAGGAAAAGCTGAAACTTACAAGATGGAAAAGATGTGGAAGTCGTCAGAATGGTTCGGCAACGGGATTTGGGATAGAGGTATGGAGCAGAGCATGTCTTCCACAACGCATACATTGTATATGAAATTGCCACGCTCTATTTGGCTTTCAGCGGGGTTATTGTCTGCTTCTCTCCACTCCTCTGGCTACTTGACTCAACACCAATCGAGATTGGAACTCCTTCCAGTGGAGTCTGCTGTCCGCTGAGCCACTGATAGTCAGCATCTGCCAGATACTTGTAGTCCAATCCGCGGATCTCATCCTCTTCTGACTCTCGGAGATGGCACCCTGGGATCTTATTGATGATGAACAGTAGGATGCAAGACACGACGAACGACCACGCGGCACATGTCGTTGCAGCTGCGAGCTGATAACCCATCTGGATCCAATTCTGCTCCCACCATCCTCCAGCATACGCTGCTCCTGTAACGCCATCCAAGGCTGGCACCCACGATGCTGCGAAGAACCCCGTGAGCATATCGCCAACATAGCCTCCGACTCCATGAATGGCAAAGATATCGAGGCCTTCGTCGATTGAGAAGAGGTATTTGTATTTGTTCGTGTAGAAGCAGCAGACTGAAGTGAGAAGTCCGATGAGTGCTGCTACGTAGACGGGAACGAAACCTGCGGCGGGAGTGATTCCTACGAGGCCGGAGATTATTCCGGAGCAGAAGCCGATTATGGAGAATTTGTGAGTGTGGAAGTATTCGAGGAGGACCCAGCCGAGGCCGCCGCCGCATGCTGCGAGGTCTAGACAGATCGAGCGTCTAGTCTGACGCAGATTAGTGGGAGGGGAGAGGTGACTCACTTGTGTTGATCATAACATAGATTGATCGTAAGCTGAGATTCGCCGTTGAGCCACCATTGAAGGCAAACCATCCGAACCTAGATGATGCGGGCGATTAGCACGATTGTCGAAGCGCTCACTGTCTCATTAGCGTCTGGACTTACCAGATCAGAATGGTACCCAGACCAACGAGGAACGGGTTATGTGGCTTATGGTGTATGATCTTCCGTCGATCAGTCGTAGTCGTATCACTTATTCGAGGACCCAGCATCATGCTCCAAGCTAAGGCTGAGAATCCGCTTGCGATGTGTACAGGACCAGAGCCTGCAAAGTCCAGAACGCCAAGCTTGTACAGCCAGCCATTTGGATTCCACTCGAAGTATGCAAGAACGTAGTAGACAAAAGTTGTCCAACATAACAAGAAGAGCATGCTGGGCCAGAGACGTCCTCGCTCGAGCATCGCTCCTGCCAAGATCATTGCTGTAGCTGTGACAAATGTGAAGCCGAAGCAGGCGTATAGCAAATCTGGAATGTCGGTGTTCGCGAGAGAAGGAGAGGCAAGGACGTTGTGAAGTCCTGCTAACGACATGTTGCCCAAGAATGGATTCGTGGCTCGCGACTATCAACTGTTAAACATTTTTACTGGCTTCGGGAGCGATGCGAAACGGACTTGGTATAGAGAGTATCCGTATACCCAGAATTGTATGCCGCAAGCACATGCACAGAACAGCGATTGGAACACCATTGTCAATGCTGCTTTCCGTCTGTGCATACCGGCATAGAGAAAGCCGATGGCCTAGTGACAATCAGTCCATATACAATGCATGGTTTGAATTGGACCTAGCCCGACTGACTGGAGTGATCTGCCAGCACAAGATCGTGCATACTGCAAGCCAGCATAGATCGCCCTTGTCATAGGGTGAAGTCAAGTCTTGGGTCAGTGGATCGCCGCCTTGTGGGTTGACCCTGTAGGCTGGCCATTCTGTGATTTGCTGGATGTCACTCATGCTTGGAGAAGGTCGTCTTGGGTCCGTGAGCGCGATGGCGTTGTGAACGAGATCGCTTCCTCATGCAAGACTCTTCCGCTACTCATATACTCGTATCGCCCAGAGATAACACAACAGCTAGAGCCAGGATGGGACGTTCGCGTAAGATGCAGCTAGCATGAAAGCTGGAACGTGGCTGACACGTGGCGACGACGCTTGACCACTCGAACACCTGTTGGTCAGCTGGAGACGAGGAATAGATAGGCTGATATCGAAGCCGCTGCAGCACCTATCTCTTATCAGTGGACGAACTGCCAAGACGTCTTGGTACTCTGGGCACGAGCTGGAGATGAAGACATGCTCCCAAGATCGTTCCGTTCCTGTGATCGAGAGTTTACAAATCTGGGCCTGGAGCTTTGCAATAGATTCTTGGAAGAAAAGGTGGGATGCAGCTGAATTCAATAGTGAGACGCCTTCAAAGCCCGGGATACCAAGCAGAGTTCAGCATCCGAGGAGCACAAATCCGTGGTCAGCAAGCTCACGCCACGGGGAGCTCCAGAGTGTGCTACAAGTTCGGGACACGGAAGATATGTCGGTGCTCGTACACGGAAGAAGAGCAAGTTCGTTTCGACTTGGCCTTCTGAGATGGAGTGGTCGGCATCAGTCCTGTTGGAGGCAGTAATCAAAGTAAAGAGAGTCATGCTACAGGAAGGCATGAAGAGCACGAGCGATAGGAGACATTTCGAAGGGTCTGTATGACAACCCGGTTGAACACTTTCAAGGCTGGAGTCCTGTAAGAGCCTGCTCCCATACACCATTAGCGCCGCGAAGGGTCTGCATGCCGATGCTCATTTCATCGATCACCAATCTTCCGCAACAGTGGCAGAGCAACCTGCACCTCCGATGTAGTCTCTAGCCTGGCCCTGATTATCAACCACCTTGGGATGCTTGTCTTTGCCATCTGCATCCCATTGCAGGACGCCCGTCGGATCAATGACAACCACGTTCTTTTCCTCAGCCAGCAATCGATTGATATCTTCGTGCACAATTCGTCGCGCGACTTTGTTCAGAGAGAAGACATCGCGGAAGGAGATGACCACTGCACATGCGTCCGCGTATGCTCCAGATCCTGGATCGTTTGGGTCTTTTTCGCCCAGATTCCGTGCCAGTGCCCGCGTTAATATCTCAGCTCCCGCAAAGCGAACTGCTCCACGCATGTGGAAGATGGCGATCCGCCGGGGGCAGTCTTCGTCGTGGGCATCTGCTGTCTTGAGCGTAGCGATACTGGTGGCAACGGTGGAGCGAGCAATCTGGCTGACGTCCATCATGTGGAAGCCCATGTCTCGTGATAATTGTTCACAGATGGACACTCCACGCACACTGTTGCCCTTGCTATCGAGTTTAGGAGAAAAGGCAGCCAGACCGACTTGTCCTGGAAGTGCTCCGAGGATACCTCCAGCAACACCGCTCTTGGCTGGGATGCCAACATTCGACACCCAGTCGCCGGCAGCATCGTACATGCCACAGGTCGTCATGACTGATAGTACCTGTCGTACGCTTGCATGCGGGAAGATGCGTTCTCCTGTGATGGGATGGTAGCCTGCATTGCTCAGCGTTGCAGCCATAAGTGCCAGATCTCGGACTGTAACGTTGATCGAGCATTGTCGGATGTAGCCTTTGACTGCTTCCCGAGGATCACACTGAATGATTCCTGCGGCCTTGAGCATATGAGCAAGTCCCATGTTACGATCCCAGTCTTTGAGCTCAGCTTCGTATACTTCCTCGCAAACGCTCAGCTCTCTCCCGGCCAGCTTGGACATCACCTTCAAGATCCTGTCTGTACGCTGCTCGGCAGTTGCATTGGGCGCGACTACCAGCGAGTGCGCGGTGATGGCACCGGCATTGATCATGGGATTCATGGGTCGATTGGAGCCTTCATGGAGAGAAAGCTCGTTGAAGGCGTCTCCTGAAGGCTCGACGCCGATCTTCTTCAGGACTTGCTCCAGTCCGGCATCCTCGATGGCCAGGGCATAAACAAAAGCTTTGGAAATGGACTGGATGGAAAATTCGACTTCATCATCGCCGGCCGAGTAGACGTTGCCATCTACCATGGCAATGGCCACGGCCAATCGAGAGGTGTCAGCTTTGGCGAGTACATCGATGTAGCCTGCGGGAGCTCCAGAATCATCGGAACGTGCATGCTCCAGCACTCGCTTCAAATAGTCGGGAATCGGGGACCTCATTATGACGATCGCTGATGTGGTGATACCGGGATTGCGATGGTGCCGTCGGTGTAGATAGCTCCGTTTCCCAGATTCCCACTTTCTAATGGCGGGGTGTCATAGCTCCTACGCTTGGCCCTAAGGTATCTGCCAAGGGCTTTAGGGCTTTAGGGCAGCCAACGTTGGGCCCGGGCGGGTCTTGGAGAAAATGATTTCTCCAGAACGTGTATGCACATGTCAATTTCGATCATATGGCTCATACCACATGGCTACTGTCTACCCTAAGACCTTGTGCCCTAGATGAGTGGAACCGTTACCGTGTTTTAGGCGTTCTCATCCTGTCCCTGCGGCTGCTGCAACGTGACAGAGACCATACCCACGGAGTTACCTCCATAGTATATGAGGAGGCGTCCAGTCAACTTTTCGGGACCGTCAAGTGCAACTTTCCGCGATGCATTTCTCGACCTCACTTTATCTTGCAGTTAGTCTGCTGGTCCTCCACTGCTCTGCACAGTGCAATCCTACCGGAAATACCATGCTTGGACCTTGTATAAATTGGTGCTACGACAGCTACACTTCCCCTAATGGACAACGAACCCCCTCCGACTGGCTGGTAAATCAGTGCTTGAAGGAGAACTGCCTGACTTGCAAGTCAGTAACCTCGATCGATATAAGCTAAGTGTCCTTGAACACTGACTACGGATAGAAGCTGAGATCAACACGATGGTGTACTGTTTCATCAGAGCCACGCTGGCACGATCTGCGGCCCGTCGTCCCTCATTGACAGAGCTGTCGTCTTACGACTGCAATCATGATCTAAGAGCACTCTTTCTTGTTATTCTGCGCACGACCAACCAGATGATCAAAGAGAGAAGTAGCAAGGACACAGGATGAAGTGCAAGACTCAGTGAAGTACCAGTCATGAGGGTACACATCGTTGGAGCGTCAGAGTCAATTGATAGGGTCAGCGATCACCGTAGCCAATGATCGTCAGCTTACGACCATGGAGCTAGGGCTCTGCGACTAGGCAGTTCCAGCATTCTCTGGGTCGTTTTGAAGTTAGTCTTGGGCAATGCATCTGTTTTATAAGCTACGAGTCTATAAGTTCCAAGAGCAGTCTGCCTCAGATGAAGCAACTCAGCCTCCAGATTACCTGCTCCACCAGCGTAACTGATGCCTATTCGCAATCCATGTAACACACTCCAGACGTGACACAGGCTTGAAACGTAGAGAAATAATGCTGCAAAGGGAAGACGTCTCAAATTCAGTGTCTAGTCTCTAGGCTATCGTATTTCATGTATCTCGATCGCGGTTTGACCCCTTCACAATTCTCACCATCGTCAGTCTTGCTGCGTGTAGCTGAGAGACCGGTCATTTACCGTTGATGATTGTTGCGTTATACTCGTGACCCTCACATCTCTTCCCCGCGTGCTATCGTGGTCTTCTTCATCGTATCGAGCTTTAAGGGCTCTGCTATGTCAAGAAGTTAGGTCCATATCCTGTACGTCTGTGGACACGCCATAATGCTCACACTAATTTGTTCCTTACTTGCTCTCCTGCTCCTTCTTCTCCCTGTGGTCTTTGTATACGCTGCGAGCTATGGCCACGACCGGCCATACGACGACTCCTGCTGCGACGGTGAAAGTATCCATGATCAGCTCTGATTGTGGAAGCGATGAGTTTGTAGAAGATCGAATGTGGCTGTTGGCGTGTAGTGGTGAAAAGAAGATGATTCCGCGGGCAGAGAACGAGCATGCCGGAGCTCACTATATGTGCTCACTATGCGATGTCCACAAACCTTGATGCTTCACATCACGAAGCGGCTATGCTGCTCCAGACCGCCACAATAGGATAATGCGCGCGAACTCCGTACGCATATGCCAAGACCTTCGCCTCAAAAAATGTTGTTGGTGGAGTGATATGCTGGTGCATGCTCAGCTGAGCTCGCTCTGCCCTATGAGCTTGTGGAAAAGGATCTGCGTTCTTAGAGTAAGCGAGGAGTAGCATAACACAAGCATACCTGTGAGTGGTTGACGTTGATCATATGTCAGAGCAGAGCCGTCAAGACCAGGTTGCAGAGGCCGCCCACTCACACCTTCCTGGGGCTTCCTGTCCAGCTACTGCAGAAATGCTGGATGCTCCAAGCATAGCGTCTCTGCTTCCAGCAGGGTGTTGTCGTTGCCATTTCGCCCTCCTTTGCTCGCGCACACGAGATTCTCCCAAGAAGCATCAGTTGCCACCAGCGTCTCGGTATCAGTCGCTGCCTGGCAAACTCGGTGAACCGCACTGGCTTCTGCCAAACAACAGGACCTAGGCTGGTACATCTACAGATGCGACGCCATCTCACGTCTCTACTGATATCACCTGACGAAGTATTGCGCGATGAGCGTATGGACTGCGATCACGCCACGGCAAGCTAACATTGGACGCAGTACACCACGAATCGAGCGGTCTAGACTTGCAGAGTCTGTTTTTGTCGTTGTTGACATAGATTCAAGTATCTAGAGCTGTTGTACTCAGCTCTGAATCACCGATTGCGGGATGTGATGGGGTAGTCATGAGTAGGTCTGCGGGAACTTCAGTGGGCATGACTCGCAACAGAAGTGGAGGCAAGTAAAAAGTCCTTGAGTGCCAAATGAGTATGGAAATAGCACAGGTGTTAAAGTTTGTTTTCTAGTGGATGAATGGGCTGAAATTTTGCTCAACATATGCTCTTGGAATACCTTAAGGATTGTGCTGGATGCTCGATGCGGGAGTGGCCATCATCTGGCTCACTCCCATAGCAATTTCCCATTATCTGCAACCGTCTCGCCGACTTCAACTCACTTCCTTTCGCAAAACACGACGGGAACTACGCTTTCGGTTGATTCTGTTGCTGGGAACTGCGCGATTGTCGGGTAAAGTCCATGTGGTCTTCGGAGAAGCTATGCTCTATATTCGTCCGGACTTTGTGCGACATTAATGCGTCCCTTAGTCATTCTCCGCGACGTCACGAACCGCTTGGCCACCATAGAGCCGATATATATCCCGTGACTAAGGATAAGTTGACCAAAGTGGGCTTTCGACGAGGCGTCCAAAAGGCCGAAACGTAGTCTCTCCACAACGGGTCCAGATTCTAGAATATAGGGAGATGCGCGCTTCGTTGTTCTGAATTGTAGAATATGAGCTCTCTACACCAATCTGATATCCTACGATGCAGCTCTTAACTTCACTTTACTTGGCATTCTGTCTGATGGCTGCAAACTGCTCGGCACAGTGCAAACCTGATGGCAACAGAAAGCACGGGCCTTGTCTGGATTTCTGCTGGTACATGTACAGTAACCACGATGGATCAGTGTATCCAACCGACTACCAGTTGGAACAGTGCACATTGAAAAACTGCCAAAGTTGCGTGTAGGTGATCCCAGGGTACGCGAGCTGCGTGTAGTGGAATATTGATTGTTCTCAGAGCATAATACCGACACGATTGTGGCTGCCACACTCGAAAGTGGCTGGAGCAAATCGAGCGCATGTGTGGGAAGACGATGGATTACGGCCTCCCGGTGGAAAACGCCTCAAAACATAACATCGTCGAAGAGAAAGAGGAGATGAAGACGTTGAGCAGCAAGACTCTTCGCCGGACTGTTGTACACGAGTTCTTGAAGTTCTGTTGACTTCACCTTCACGAAAGATAGCTAGAGACTCTTGGCAGGATTGAAGCGATTCACATTGACAATGCCTAGCAATTCTCTCTCGGTGACCATGGCGCAAGGTAACCTTGAGAGTTGCGTTTGACGCCAAACACGGCGAGACTGTGAAGTCCATGGCCTGTTTGCGAGACTAGGAGTGTGCAAGCGTTGCAGCATTTCAACATCAGTCGAGCAGGCAATTATCCTAAAGAACCTTAATCGCCTCAGAGACCAATTTGAATGCAAGCAAGGCATTAATTATGGCTTGAGTGGCGGAGACTCCAGAAGAGCTGGTCGTGCTGAGGATTCGGGGTTTCGTCCATGCTAGCTCCTCACCACCAGGATCAGCAAGTGTTTCAACGGCAATTCGTCCAATGTGCTATGAGGATTCTACTTCCGGTTTGAACGGCAACGTTCAGTTGTGCTTCTCGATCGTCGTGGGAACGCGCCGAAGAGCGGAGCCCCTTGAGAGAGACTGATGGCAAGCTATTGGCAGAAGAACATGGATCTGTCACTGCCAGACGAACAAGAACAGGTAGAATGCGGTAGATGTCCGTTACCTCTTCATCGATAGAACTCGGATCTCGTTGAGTGTGTAACGCCGGTGAGAATACGAGATCGTAGAGAATGCCTGTAAGGGTTTTCAGATACAAGAGCGGTTGCATGGCGGATTTCGTCCACTCAATGGATAGGCATTGACAGGAACATCACGGGTGGCGCTGAGGGTCCATACAACAGTCTGTGCCTGCTGAGAGGCTCTGCTCGTCATGTCGATGCGCACGTTGCCGGCCAGAACACTGTTCCATGCCGTGGATTCCGCGGATCCTCCACCATATCAGGGGGCAATGGCGTGTCGAGCCGCCGCCACGGCTTCCGGCGCTTCTGTACGTGTCGCTGCTCGCGCAATCGTCCTTGACCGCCGGTCTCATTCACTCTCAATTTCAATCGTTGTCCGAGGATGATCGCGTCCACGCACACTGGAGGGCAATATGCGAATTGCACAGGAGCGGCGCATTCTTGAGAGTCGGTGGTGAACAAGTTGCACGGCGCTGTGGGCTAGCTGATCAGCCGTCTCGGTCAGGTCGTCGAAACGACGTCGTTGTTCTGATGATGTTGTAGAACGTTCCGACAAGGAGATCGGGAGCAGGTGGGGGAAATGAGGCACCAAAGTCGGCAAGAGGTGGGGGGTAGACGCCAACTTGAACATTCCTCCAAGTATTTCTGGCCATATCGTCGCACGACGCTGAGATGCTGCACAGTCGGTGGGTCTCAGCTCCAGGATCACGAGAACATTGCTATGGGCTACGAAGAACGTTTGTCGAAGCCTGCAACAGGTAAATTCGTCGCTACGAGGCATCTCTACTAGTTTCAACGATCCAGCTCAATCAGCCGGAGTAACAGCTTCGGAATACTTGGGACAACGTGATCTGTTACGTGGACATGGCCAACTACGTCTCAATGTCTCGGTCACGATGTGGTCCGTCGGACGCGGTTATACAAGATAAAAGAGATGCGAATGAAAGAGTGCTTTCCGCCACAACACGGAACTTCAGCACAACAGGATGCATATCAACCACCTTGCCGCTCTTCTGTTAGCCACACCAGTGTTATGTATCGTCCATGAAATAATAGTTGGTACATTCGGCACGCCGGCTTTGTACACTCTGGGCTTCGACGATGAAACGGAGCGGTTAACTCTGCTGAGAAACACGACCACTGATGTTGCAAGCTCATGGATCGCATTGAGCGTGAGTGCAGTTGGAACTCCTTAGATCTATGACACGTTCTGACACCATTGAGTAGCACGACAAGAAGGCCCTGTACGGAACTCAATTCGGGTCCTCTCCTGGTGGATCACCCTCCTTTGTTAGCTATAGCATAGTCGATGGTACCACCCTCGTACCGAACAACAAGACCCTTTCGTTGGGTGGGGAGTGTGCCAACAGTACCGCGAACGCAATCTTTGTTGTCGCAGACGAGAGACCACCTTATGCTGTATATGGAGTGCCATTCGGCAGCAATGCAAACTGTGGAGCTGTCATGTCTGTCGATGACACTGGCGCTTTGGACGAAGTGATCCAGAACTACACTTACGGATCCGAATCTGCTGTTCATGGCATGGCCATCGGCTCCGATGGCTCGTACTTGTTCTCGGCTGATGATTCCGGAAATCAACTCTGGACGCACAAAATCAATCGACCTTCGGGTAATCTTACCCTCATGGCCAGCGTCTACGGACCAGAATCAGGATCGAATCCCCGCCATGTTGCAACGCATCCGGCTGGAGAATATCTGTACGCTGTGCTAGAGGAGTCGAATGAAATCGGACAGTACTGGATCGAGGTTACGGGGCAGCTGAGATGGCAGAATGTTAGCTTCGGTCTGATTCCATCAAGTAAGCACCCCAAGATTTGGATCCCTGCTTTCAGATTTGTACTGATGCGACGCTTTAGCGGTCAATGGTTCCCAATACTGGTCCGATGAAGTCGCTCTATCAAAGAGCTCGAACTTCCTATGGGCGACATCCCGTTCCCGTTCAACTTCGTCGACTGGCTACATCTCCGCATTCAATCTCACAGCAAACGGCACAATTGACCAGCAACTCTTTCTGTTGCCGACGACTTCAAGTGGAGGATCGGCGAATGCAGTAGCTCCGAGCGGTTTCAATGACGAATATGTGGCATTGACTGACTCGTCCGTGGGCTTCGTCGAGATCTGGAAGCTGGCTGCGAATGCATCGGCAGCGACGGTGGTGTCGCATCTCGATCTGAATGACGGAGGGTGCTGTGCGAACGCTGTTTGGTACTCCTGATTCCAAAGACGAGGTGCAGAGTGCGCGCATAACTTGGCTGTTAGCGACATCGCAGCAGAGGCGTCCTGGCGGCGACTCGAGGAAGGCTTTGTAGCTGGTTGCTGTGCGCTTGCAGCAGACCCTGCAGATATGACGATCCGTTTCCTTGCGTAAGTGCAATTTGTAGACAGCAAAGCTGTCTCTAAAGGAAAGGCCTCTTCACGGATACTAGAGGCACTAAGTAGGTCAGGTGTACTGAAGAAGACTAAAAAGGTGCTCTTCTTCCATTTTCCAAACATACTGCGATGTAAGACCATCAGTATCGGATCGAGAGAAGACGATGACCCACACGGCAACTATATCCATCAACATCGATCAATCACTATTTCACATTGTTTACAAGAAAATCGTGCACGAAAAAAGGCGGCAGCAGCTCAGGTGAGAGGCCACCTCTCACTCAGATGAAGGCACTTCTCATCATTTTCTGAACTACAAAACAATCTGCAGTGTCTTCGCGACGCTCGGAACGCCTCTCTCGTTCATCGCGAAGAGATAATAAAATCCTGGAATCAGGATGCCAGAGTCCGAGGGCAGAGTTACTATATGCGCAGCATTGCTTCTCTGCACATTGTTCAACGGAATGCGTCGCTGATCGCTGTTGACCGAGTGTGTGGCAGATCCCATACGAACGAGAGCCAATGTATGTTGAGTTGGGTAGTTCATATTCACAGTGATGGTGCTGCCTGCTTTGGCGACACGGCCGTTCTGCATCGAGCTGTCGACGGAGAAGATAATGGGGCGTTCGGCAAGGCTCATGTCATCGTTGAAGAGATATGGAGGGGAGAAAATTTCTCCGTCCGGGTGGTCGATTGCGCGATTGCAGCCAGAATCGTCTTGGCCGGGGGCGAGGTTACCGCACATGCCGCCACCGCTAGTGAAAATTCTGCCGTCGGAGAGGAGGAGAGAGATGGCATGGTAGTTGCGTGGAACTTTTGCTAGTGCAAGACGACGGAATGTCTTCGATGGTGGGTCGAACAGCTCCGGTGCAAAGATGGAGTCGTCGTCTTGGAATACGCGTGAGACTCGCTGTCCGCCTGTAATAATCAATTGGCTATTGGGCAGGACAACGATGTTGGCAAAACCGCGAGGATCTAGAGTATTAGGTAGACGTTCGACTGTTGCGTTGGCAAACGGTTTGCCGATGGTAATTAGGTGAGCTCTCCCAGTAGCTAGACTGGCAGTGTAGCTTTAACTACCTCCGGCGGAGAAGATCTTGCCGGCGATGGCATCGTACATAACATAGATCCCGCATATGGCGTCTGCTTAGGGGTCGCGGATTCCAGCACCTTAGATTGAACTAGAGCCTCTAGTATCGATCTAGTTTATAGCCATACTAGGCCCGGCGTAGAACACTGTGCTATTAGTCTATAGGAACAGCTAGGTATAATTGTCTGTTCGCTAGTCTCCCTCCTAGTCGTTAGATATTAAGATATTATCTGTTTTAGCACTAGGTAGCAATATCTAGGAGTTTATACTTAAATCGTAGACTTCTCTAACCTTATTCGTACGCGGACTAGTAAAGGTACCGCCGATAGTAAAGACCTTTCCGTTAGAGAGAGTTATCGATATCTAATATCTACGACCTATATTTATATCTATAGTACGAGAGAAGCTACTATCTTTTAGATTATAAATAGAGGCTACTTTAGTATTACTATCTTTCGATACGAGAATCCGGCTATTCTATAACGAGCTTATACTAGAATAGAATATATTATAGCTAGTATTAGAGATAGTTCGAGCTAATATTATTCTATTCTTAAAGTTATACTCTATAAATTATATATAGCTATTCGGAGGTATCTATAGGCTAAATTTATTTATAGACTATACTAACTAGACTATTATATAGTTAGACTCTAGAAATTCGGGAATAATATAGCTTATAACTAGAATAATAGAAAGCTTAAAAATACTACTCTAGCTACTAGAGTTATTTTCTATACTAGAGTATTTTAGTAGAGGACCTATAGAAATAGTCGATACTATAGAATTTTAACTAGGCTAGGTAAGCTTAATATAATCGAAGTTATTTAACTAGATAATCTAAGGATTTATAGAGTTACTCTTTATATAGTAGATCTTACTAGACCTATTATATAAAGTAATAGTATAGCTAGTTATCTAAGTATATCTCTTTATATAATTATTAGAAGTAGTAGTATTACTAATATTATAAATATTTAGAGAGTAGTAGTTATAGCTAGGATAGATAATAGCTATATTACTTTAGCTAATAATAACGCCTTAGCTATTACTTAGATAGCTTAATATATCGATTATTAATTTAGTTTTTAGTAGATATATAGTAGCTAAGTTCGCTATTTAGAACTAGATCGGCGAAGTAGAGCTACCTTTAAGGTAGTATATCTTACTACTAGTATTATATAAAGTAATAGAATAGCTAGATATAGTTCTATATTATACTATATAAGTA